GCACTGCCATTTTTTCCCCCTCTTTTTTGGTCATAAATTAGGTACTTAAAATAGATCTTAAAGAGCCAGCGGAAATGAACCAACACCGTGGCTCCAAATTACCTTTCCTGGAAGCTAAAAATGCTAAATGCGTTTAAAAGAAAAAAAAAAGAGTGACATTTCTCATTTACTCACCTTGACGTGGACCATATTTTACGCATAAAAATCTCTCCCGCAGCCTGTTTGGGGCCCCTTCCACGCCTTACTCTCCTCCCACCCATTCCCTTTTTTCTTTTGCTGAAAGGCTCGGCTCCAAATCCGATTGGAATATCTTTAAACATCCCTGGGAAAGGGCATTGTGGGCGGAGGGTCGTGTTCCCAAGTCCCAGCCGTCGCTGACCTAAAGGAAGGTTGTCCTGGGTGGACAGGATCGAGTAGCCAGGGCTGCAGGCTCGGAAACCCCTAACACCCAGGAGAGACCGGAGGGCTCGCGCTCGCCCACTCCTTCCGCCTCTGGGCTCCGCGTTCCCATTTCTTCAAAGCTCTAAACCTTACATCAAATGCAAAAGAAACAGCTGGGCGGACACCACTCCTTTCCGGACCACCCCTCACCACCGGTTCGAGTCCCTGTAGAGGATATCTATTTTCCACCCCAATTGTCCACAGCATCTCCCCCTCACCACCCCGGGAGTAATAAAAGATAAAAAGAATAGTGAAAAACAAACAAAAATAGGGATTCCAAATGTTCTAAAGAGCCAAAAGACAAGCACAACAACACTCACTACAAATTCTTACCGAGAAGGAGAGGACGAAATACTCTAATCCCCCAGCCCCCACTCCAACAAGGGGGAAAACACCGCAGTTACAGCCGGGAGGGGAGACGGGCAGGGTCTGTGGGGCCGGTTGGCCGAGAGCTGGTGACTGAAGCCGACTAAAGGGAGGCCTAAGGGACAGAACGGCGGGCGCTGTCCGTGGTCCTGAAACAGCCGCGCCCTGTCTCCCAACTCACTGGCTGTAATTCCAGGCCCTTGGCTCCTTAACATCTCGCTGAGTCCAAGAGTCTAGGTTGGAATGGGAGATAATTGGAAATTAAACCAAAACCATAAGTCCCCAAGTCTGTTACTTTCCCTGCCTAACTGGAATGTCAACTCCATGAGTGCAGAGATAATGTAAGTTGCTGGAACAGTGTAAAACTCCCTAAGAACAGCGCCTGTCGCATAGTAAGTGATTAATAAATATTCGTTTAATTACCTAATTTTTTAATATTTAGTTAAACATTTTTAAATTAAGGACGAGACTTCATTCCCTCCCCCTCCATAAAGGATAAAGGGAGGGATGTCCTCGCAGTTGGACGGATTCAACTTTAATTTGTGATACCTGCTTTTTGTAGATTTTTTTTTTTGCCAACGGGATCATTTTCTTGGCTAAAACGTTAGGGGTGAACGTTTTGGACACTGGGGTCAGAAGAGGGAGTGGCTGGAAATTTCTCAGTCTCAAGCCACAGGTGAAAGTAAATGAATCTTCCTTTCAGGGGAATCTCGGGTCTTGGGAGAGGGTTGAGGAGCCAGGGCGAGCAGGCATCTTTCTGGGACAACGGCCCCTGAGGGGCATCGGGATTTGTTGCCTCCTCCCGCCAGTCTCCTTGCTCCTTGCGTCTTCCATGATTTAGCACGGGCACTGGGCTCTCTGATTGGTGCAACCATCTCATTTAGGGAGGTCTGAGGAGGGGGCGTGGGTGGAATTCCGAGCCTCATTTCGGAGTCAACCGCACATTTCAAGCATAGCGGTGCAAGGTTTTGAAGGGACCTTTCCTTCGCTGAGTGGGCACGCCCACCTTGCCCAGCCTGGAGCTCCTGCGCCCAGAGCTGCGGTGACTGCCCTCCCGCCGCCGTTCAGGATGCTTTTGGGTCCTTAAAAAGTGCCCGAGCTTTTATTGTGAGGTAGAGAGAGGACAAGAGTATTTTCTTCAGTATCAAGGGCAACGCGGTTATTTCAAACCTCAGAGCGCTATCCCTCTTACTAATGGGACTGTGTCTTCTCAGGGCGGAATCTTCGATCTTATTAGGGAATTTTCGGTTATTAGTAAGATTTTCTGTCGTTCAGAGAGAAGGTACGGGCTTCGGTTGGACCAGCAAGGCCGCAGACGTGTCCATAAATAACCCCTGCCTGCTGCACAGTAACAGGGGGAAAAAATCACTGTGAAACGAGTAAAGGAATCATTGGTTACACGGTATCACCCAGCCACACACAAAGATCAACTTTTTTTTTTTTTTTTTTTGCCCTAAAGGAAAAGACACTGAGGTAGACGAAGGAGGAGAACATACATTAGCGACGAGGCTGGCTGAAGGATGGCTTGAAGAGGCGGGAGAGTAATAGAGCCCAGACAGCCCTTCCAGGGGTTAGTTAGCTCCCGCGGGGAGGAAAGACCCCGCCCGCACAGGGCCTCGCGGTCTCTGGGCGCCTGGCGCCCCCTGGTGGAAAATTTTCGGCGAACGCCTTCTTATTGTGAGGTGCTTTTCCGAACGCGGCAATTCATTATAAATATGTTTAAATAATGCAAAGGGAGAATCCTTAAAAAGCGCAAAATCGCAGGGGGGGTGGTGAGGAGAGTGGGCAGAGTAGGGAGGGATGGTCCGCTGCCCACCCCCACCCCGCCCCCTGGGGCCACCTCTGTGCTCGGGTTTCCGTTTGTGTGAAGCCGCGCTCGTGCGTGTTATTAACCTTCAGATGTGATCAATCAGGAGGGCTTCTTTCCCCATTACCAAGAGGACCAAAACTAGCAGGGAGTGCACAGTGGGTGGGAAACGGGACCTTTTCTCTGCGGGTGGCCGTGGGTAGCGGTACTCAGGTAAAGTACTTTGGGGAGGCTCTGAGCTGGATGAAGAAACTGAAGTGAAAGGAGACGGGGTCTCCTCCGGGGTCTGAGTGTTCCCCTCCAAACTCTGCCTCCTTTGCTTTTACAACAGTCCTGGCTCAGTAGAGAGCCAGCGAGGACACAACGCCAGAGCTCGCTTTTACTCAGGTAAGAGTCGCGGGGTCGTAGATCTGGGGGATCCGCGAGGAAAGAAATTGAGGCAAAGCCACTGTTCTAGTCTTCCCGAAAATATGGGAGGGGAAGGAAATGGGGGAGAGGGATGAAGAAGCACTCAACGAGGCAGAACTCTTCGTAGGAATTATCTTTTCCCTCGTCTTACCCGACACCCTCTTTCAAAAATAGAGCATGTTGAGTACGTTCTGGATTACTCATAGGGCCTTTTTTTTCCCGAGCCCCAAACCGTGATCTGGATTTATAATCGCCCTTTAGAGCTCCAGAGGCGATCAGGCACCTGCAAAGGAGCCCCACCGCTCTGCCGACGAGCTGCCCCCGCGAGCAGCGGCCTCGTGATTCCCCCGCCGAGCCGTCCCCGCCTCCCCACTCCGCCCCCGCCTCCCCCGAAGCCTACCAGCTGCCTCTCCCGACCGCTCTCTTCTCCTTCCGGAGCTCGCGTGCGGGACGGTGCTGGCGGGAGCCCGGCGGCAGCTGGAGGTGACGCCGGGAAGATTACGCCTGTGGCAGGGCCGGGGCCGAGCGGATCGCTGCGCGCTGCGCAGAGGAGCGGCAGGAGCGCCCTGCTTGCTGTCGCCTAGCCCAGGTGGGTAAGCGCGCGGCCGCCCGGACTTCCCAGTGCCAGGCTGCAGCTGTTCAGCTGGGTCCTCTTGACCCGCAGTTTCTTGGCCAACCCCCACTCCCAGCGACAGCCATCTACCCTCCCTAGCAGAGCACGTCCCGCCTGCCCTACTCCCGGCTCTCCCTTGGTGCGCGGCGCAGCGACCCCGACCTTCGCGTTCATCCTACCCCCACCAGCGAAATTCACGCCTAGGGATGCCCAGAGGCTGACACCCGCGCTGAAGTGGAGAGAGGATTTTCCCCATCGCTTCCCGGCTGTGAGCGCCCGTCTCACCAAAGGGCTCCTGAGCAGCAGCTGCCAAAGGCACGACTCCGAGCGGTAACCTGTTACTTCCCCAGAAGCTGCGGTCTACCGTGGCCGGCGTTACAGTATGAATGCGCGCGCAGGGCTGGGTGTGGGATCCCAGGGTGCGTGTGAAGGCGGTGGCGAGCAGGTGCTACTCTGCGGGGTCTTAGATCTACCCAGATTGGCCGGCACCTCTGTCCCGGGGCCTTCGGTAGCCATCGCGCCAGCGCCGAGCGCAGTACAGGGGCGTCGCGCACCGATCCTAGTCTGCCGCCTTCCGAGCGCAGAGGGCAAGTTCGTTTCCCCAGTAATGTTCCCCTTTCTTGCCACACTCAACCTCTTCGGCTTTGTTCAGCGAAAAATCTGGGGACCTCAGAGAGTTGGGTGGAGAGGGAACACAGAAACCCGGACCGAGCCTCGTCCTAGGCTTCCAGATGGCTCAAAACGGGGTGGGACAAGAGGGAGACAAGGTTCCGACCCGCTGCTTTCTGGCTGCCTAGGGTGCAAGGTGACTGTAGTTCTTCCCCGCCAAGTCCGAGAGAGAACGTAAAGATATGGACCCTTTTTTTCCTCTCACCGTGTCTCACCAAAGTCCCCGGTCCTCGGAGCAGTTAGCCTCCTTCTTTCCAGGGAATTAACCAGACACAACAACGGGAACCAGACACCGAACCAGACGTGCCCGCCCAGTGCGCACTCCCCCCCGCCTGCCCGCCCTCCGGCTGCTGAGAGCCCAATGGGGCTTGTCGTGGCTCGGCTGGAAAATCGCGCACTGAGGCTCCCTTGCCCTCCTAGCCCTATCCCCCCCACCCCTGCGTCCTGAACTGGCCTTGGGCTCCCCTAGTCTCTGCGCTGCACTTCAGGTCACCCCGCTCCGCCGCCAGACTGGAGAGCAGCCCTGGGCTACGTTGCCCGCGCCGGAGTCCCAGAGCTCGCGCGCACGTCTCCTCCTCCCCTCGGCGCACCCCGACTCAGCCTGTTAGGTGCCCTTCCTCCCGCCTCTCTGTCCCAAGCCCTGACTTCTCGGGGGGAGCGTCCGCGCCCCCGACCGCTCAGTCGCCTCCCGCGCAGGACCCCGGAAGCCCTCCCCGCACTGCTCTCGCATCTCTTTGCAGCCTGTTCCTGCGCCCGACTGGCCGAGGACCCCGGACAGCAGAGGCCCCGGGACGACCAAGCTGATGGCGTCTTCGACCCCTTCTTCGTCCGCAACCTCCTCGAATGCGGGAGCGGACCCCAATACTACCAACCTGCGCCCCACAAGTAGGTTCTGCCCCAGTTTCCTATCGAATGGACTGCGGGGAAGATGGGGGCGCTGGGACGTGAGGAGGCTGCGCTGGTGGAAAGGGAAGGGGGAGCGTGGAGACGATGGAGGCTGGAAAGAAATGGGGCCCTGACCTGGGTCTTCGCCAGAGGTCGTTTGACTGCAGAAATGCTAGGCGATTCTGGGGCGCTGGAAAGTGGGAACCACGCAAGGTTTGAGTAGCGGCGATCGTTGGGGGCTTCGCTTCGAGGGAGGGACGGGCGGCGAGAGTGTTGTTTTTGTTGTGTGTGGTTTCTTTGGCTTGGTGGGACGACGGGGGGTCGGGGCAGAGGGCGGTGTGAGGAGACTCTAGTCTCGGCGGGAATAGAGAGTTTTCTGTCTCCAGCTCTCGCTGAGCTGAGACCTGACCCCCTCCTCCTTTCCCCCTGCGCTGTGCTCAAAGTCTATAATCAGCAGAAATTTCGACGTTAATTGCAGCTTTTAGAACACTCGGGGTCCCTAATTGCTCCAAATTTTCGTCGAGCTATTGACGAGTGAGGGAGAAGCCAGGGGCGAGAAAGGTGCATAAAACGGTTTGAGACTGAGCTTCGACATTTTAGACAATTAATTACATCTCAGACCAAAAAAAAACAAAAAACAAAAAAACAGCAGCGGGCAGCAACCTGAGTGGAGAGGTGGGGAGCCAGGAAGCGGCAAGAAGCTTTGCCAGGGCGGGAGGAGAGAGCACCCTTCTCTTTTCTCCAGGGCAGGAGATCTGTCAGCAATTGACAGGTCGGCAAAAGAGAAGAAAAGGGGAACCAGATAAAAGGGGGGACGTGAGTTCTATGCTTCCCCACCTCTAGCTCAGTGTGCTCTTCAGCCCATTTCCAGAATTTGTCTTTAATTCAGATTTATTTCCTACCTTTCTGTAGAAGTCTGGCGATGGAAGAGTTGTTTTTCTTTTTTTGCAGTTTGGGTTGAAATGAGTCCCCCTCCCCCAATCTATCAGCTCCAGTAGTAACAGCCCCAGATTTTCTATAGAAGAGGGGTTTAGAAATGGCAGTGTGGTTAGGAGGGCTTATTGCTATGCTTTTATGGCACTTTCTATAGACTTGAGAAAATGTCGATCGTTCCCATCAACGAAGATGGGGGAATGTTATCCGGGGAGCCCCCTCTCCAATCCCGTGGCGCAGCCACTGGCTCCCGGGCCCGGAGGCCTTGTCTTAAGTCCTGAGGTTGCGTTTCAGTTCCCTTTGCAGCTCCCTCTCCCCGCCCCCCAGGCGAGCTACAATTACCCACACAACAAAGAGGGGCTCGGGAGAGCCGCCAGCCCTGGTGGCACGTGAGCCGGGCACTGGCGGCCGCTGGCCGGATCAGGCCGGGAGGAACGCGAGGCCTGCTCGCCTTTGTCTGTTGCTCTGGCCTTGATGGTTTTTTTTTCCAGACCTCTCCACATTTCCCGCCCCTTTTTTGCTGCCTGACAGGGCAGGGCAACCGCAGTGTTCACCCACCTCAGAGTCCTGCCCCATCCCACCTCACCCGGGTTAACCTTACCTCCCGGCGGCAGCCCGCGGTGGAGCGCATACGCCCAACCTCAGGGCGGAGAACCAGTGGAGGCGCTGACCTGAGTTCGCACATGGCCTGGCGCGCCCGGAAGGCACCGAGGCAGAGGGAAGATAGTCGAGGACCCTGCCTGGGAAGAGCGTGCAGCACCTGTCCTGAGAACGTCGTCGCCTGCCCCCCCGCCCCCCTCCCCCCGGCAGCCCAGCTGCGGGTTGGGCACCCTAGGCTGCAGGCGCACGCCGGGCTCTCTGCCCGCTCTCGTCCTCCCTTGCAGACACACCCTCGCCCGCCCAGCGGGCTCCGCTTCTCTCTCTCTTCAAGGCCTCCTGGGAGGTGGCCTTGCTCAATCCGCACAACCTTACTCAGCCTCTTGGCTACACCAAAGGGGATCTCTCACTTCCTCTCCCCCATTCCTCTGTCTCTTTATTACTGTAACCCCCAGCTCTGACAGGCAGTGCATTGGGTCTGAACACCAGTGCCCCAGCTGAGTAACCTTGGAAAAATCGCTTAACCTCTCTGAATCCCTATTTTTTATTTGTAAAATGAATCTTAGATAAACACTCTTCTTGTTTCATAGAGTTGTTCTGAGGATTAGCTGAGATGGTGTTTAAAGCGAAAGCACTTTTTGAGTGGAAATAGCTCTTTACCCGCCAGGTATTATTTATTATAAGGGTTTTGCTTTCGCACCGATTTCCTGTCTGTGGCAGGAACTCCATCTGTGACACGCTGTCTCACTGACGTTGGTCTATTTCTTCTCCCCGCTGGGGCTCTGTTGTGCCTCGGGTTTAATGGATGTCACTCTCCTTATCGCCGCCGACATTCGCGCGGAGCTGAAAGCTCGGACCAGGGTGGGGTGGGGGATGGGAGTGATTGGAAGCGCCTTGCTTTGAGAGATACGAAGGGAATTTCACGCTGGGCCCACCGCACCAGCGCGCGCGGGCTCCACAGGCACCCCCGTGCTCCTTCCTGCTAGCTGAAGCCCGAGGGCAGGAGAGACCCTGAGGAGTTTGAGAACAGCCTGGTAAAGAAGGAAAACACAACGGCTCCTAGGTCGGCCATTCGGACCCGGAGGAAAGGCGCCTGATTCCCTTTGCCTTCGCCTGCTCCAGACCTGAGACGTCTGAGGGAAGGGTTAATGAGGGGCAGGTTGGGAAGAGGGGATCCGCGATGAGGACCGGAGGCACACTATTGTTTCCCGACTCTGGGTCCGACTGAAGAGCAGCCATGCGAGCCCGATCATCTAGTCAAATACTATTTTTCACCCAATTAATTCCTGAACTCTTCCGCGACCCCATTTCATGCCGGTTTATTTTAAGCTGCCACTCGGCTGGAGACCCGCCAAGAAATTATGAGACGTTTTGGTCCCAGATGCCTCTGTGTTCCCTTTCCGGGCTGCTGTGGTCGCCCTTCGAGTCTGCAGGGCGGAGACCAAGGGACAGGGCCTGGCGGGTGGGTGCTGGGTAACACGTGCGGCTTAGCCCGGTCTTTTGTACGTGGTCCACTCGGATCTCGCCTCCCCCCCCGCCCCCCGCCGGCGTTGCTTGGAGGCCTGGCGGGCCGCATGGGTGCTCGGCCTCTCAGAGACACCATTCTATACCTGAAAGCGGGAGCAGGAAGGGAGTGTCATGGGCACTCGAAGGGCACGAGTCTGCCCTTCGGCCCACGTATCTGGCCTCTTGCTCCTTTCAGGAAGGAGTTTTTATTGAGGAGCACTGGCGAAAGACCTGCCTTCTCCTCCCCAGAATACCTTTGCCCTCGACCCGGTCCCCCACATGCTCCGAACCTCACTGATCGCACCTCTTTTGCTTTCTAGCGTATGACACCTGGTGCGGCGTGGCCCATGGATGCACCAGAAAACTGGGGCTCAAGATCTGCGGTGAGTGGAAGGGCCCGCTGGGGCCCAGCAGGGCGGCGCAGCTCTCGGGCTTTGAGGGTTTGGGAGAGTGGGGCGCAAGAGGAAGGAGATCCCGGCTCTTGGGTTTGGTTTTCTAAAGTACCTACAGCCCCGACGCCTGGCGAGAAGCCCCTCTACAAGTCTTAAACCTCCTCCGCCTTCCCTTGACCCGGCTGGGGGGTACGTTTTCGGCTGGAGTCCGGGACTCCCAAGAGACAGCGGGGCTTCCCGGGTCTAGGACACAGCGCCCCCGCGCGGCAGCCCCGCTCCTCTTGCCGGCGTCGGGGCAGATCCTAAGCGTGCGCTCTACCTGCGTGGGGAAGGGAAGGTCTGGTTGAAGAGGTGAACTGGTCTGGTTTTCCCGGAGAGCAGGCCTAAGGCATGGTTTCCGCCGGAGGCGGAGGCTGGCACGTCGTCCCCCCTCCCCCGCCAGTCCCCGCCAGCATACGTTGAAAGTGGCCTCCCCAGCTTGAGAATGTGCCCCGAGATGTCACAACGGATTCAGATTTCGTTCTTTCATTCTTTGCCTGCAGCCCTCGGTGGCCTGCCTGGGGGAGGTGCGGACGGCTCGGGCCAGAGGGTTTGCGGAGCTTGCCCTTGAAGGAGAAGGAAGGAAAAGGGGGCAGGCGGGGGCGTGGGGCCTCAAGAGGAGAAAGGGGGTGTCGGGCACGATTTGCCAGAGAGGAAGACAAATAGATCTGGGAGCTGGAGAGGAGAAAGAACCGTTCTCCGGAGACGTGAGGGTCTGAAATGAAAACGCCCAAGGGACGTCATTTTTTTTTTTAAAGGAAAAAAGGAGACTTGTTCGAAGGGACACAGCTGAGTGGCTCCGGCTGAACAATGAGGACTTGCTTTCCTTGCTACATTTCACCGTCTAAAACCTCTAGCCTTATCGGGCCAGAAAATACGGACGTCCCCGGGCAGGGGGTGGAGGGGCGGGGGAAGATTAACGAGGGGCTTATTAAAGAGCCATCCGTCAGCGGCTGCGCGCGGGAGATAGCGGCGGAGCGGGCGCGGGGCACGCCCGCCCCAGCCCCGAGCGCCCCAGCGGGAGCCGGCCACTGAGTGTTCCCTGGGCCTGCTCTTGCAGCTCCTCTGCGTGCGGGGGCCCGAGGCAGGCGGCGGCGGGGCCCGGAGAGGACAGGGGCTACTTAGCGGCTCCGGGGAACCACCCTCCCTTCCCCGCTTTGCCGCGAGACGCCCTCCCAACGCTTCTGGGGCTCTGTCCCCTCGGTCCACGGTGAGGAAGCGTTGCTCAACTCCTGGACGCGGCCATCTCCCAGGGAGAGCCCAGCCCTGCCGCGGGGCGGCCCCAGGTTTGGCCCTCTCTGCGGCCCGCGAGGCCCGCGGGGCTAGGCCCGGGCGGCGTCGGCGGGCGGGGGAGGCTGGCGGCAGCGGAGCTTTGTTCTATAAATAGCCCCCTCCCCCAGCCGCCATTCCCGGCTTAATGGCCCGTTTCGCGCCCGGTCCCTTCGGCGGCCACGGCGCTCAGCTTCTGCAGCCGTCATTGTCATGCAGGCGGGCAAGCAGAACTGAGCAAGCCCAATGCGCCCGCCGCGGTCGCCGGCAGGGTGGGGGAGACTTGGGGTGAGGGCTGCCTTCCCCGCGGCCCTGGGCCTGCCTGGCCGGCAACCTTCGTCCCTCCTGCACTCCCTGAGCCAGGCGTCGCGCCGCAGGCCGTGTCCCCTGTGGCCCCCTTCCGGAGACACGCCCTGAGTGCCCCTAAAGGGTAAACGGGCAAGAAAGAGTTGAGCTTCGTTGGGTCCGCGAATAGGGGTCCCCGAGTTTGCATCAACTTACTATGAGGGAGCGCTCTTGAGCATTTGGGGGCTACCATCCGCGGAGAGTTTCTTCCCTGTTTTAAACACACACACACACACACACCAACACTAATGTCAGGAAAGTTGCAACCCGTTTGACAGGAGGAAAGGGCTGGTAGTCTGTTGAGCTCCCGCTTCTTTTTTAGCTTCTGCTAAAAAGCAAGCTTTGGGGGCCACAGGTTAGGAGGCTTCACATTAGGCTTGATTCTGAAAGGAAACAAAACACCAGGCGGATTTATTTCCCATACCTTGGACCAACTCTGGCTTTCCAAAGTGCAGTCTTTGGTTTGGACCTGAATCCACAGCCTCCCACCCTCCACTCAGGGACACCCCAACTCCCTTCATCCCAGACATTCGTGAGCCTGGAGGATGCCTTCTCCACACTCTCCAGGTTGGTCTGACCTTTCACATTAAGACAGCAGTAGAATTAATTTTCCTCTTCTCACCTACAAATCCATTGCCCTAGGTGACCCCCATAAACATCTTCAGTGCCTTGCCAAGATTCAACTCCCACCCCCTCTCCTACCTCCCTTCTCTGGAAGCCAGGGAAGAAAGCTGCAAAAAGGCTCTGGGTCTCACCAGTGGTACCCTTTGCTTCAGAGGCAGAATCCCCTGGGAAAATAATCAGGTAGAAGAAACCCAGGGTTTGCCAAGAGGTAGAATGGGGTAGCTACAAGCATGGTGGCGTGACTTAAATAGAAGGAGATGCAGGGGCTCTGGGTTCTACTAACTTCCCGGTGTGTCCTTGGCCCTCCATCACTTATATATGCAGAGGTCCCAAACTGGCTGCCAGCTACAGCCTATGAGCTCTTTTATTTAGCCCATGCAGTGTGTGTGTGTGTGTGTGTGTGTGTGTGTGTGTGTGTTTGATTTTGTGTCAGTTGCCATACAACTTTCAAACAGAGAAAGACTTCAGATATTATGTATTTCTGGCTTCTGTTGAAATAAGAAGTTGGGGCGGGGGAGATCTGGCAAGGTATTTTGAGCCCATAAAAATCAGGAAAAAAGTTCCTTCCTCCAGGTAGATGCAATTCCACTCCACAGCTTGCTGAGCAAGAGCAGGGGTTGCGGGGGGGTGGAATGGGCTTTAGCCCTCCTTACCCCCTTGGCCCTGTGCCCTTCTACCATGCACAGCTCATAGACTTGCTCAAACCAAGTGCTCTCTAGTTCCCTACACTCCTCCCCTCTCAATGGGCCCCCTAGGCCTTTGAGTTTGGGGGCAGGAGTGAGGAACCAGCCTCAGGATCTCCCCTCCGCCCAAAGGAGGAGTCATCACAGGGTTTGCCTCCTGTTCTCCCCTTAAAGCTAGCGACAAGCTGACCAAAGTCAAGTGCAGCTTTGGTTTGCCTCTGCTTTTCTTTTTTGCCCTTGGGAATGTTGAGCTGGGTTACCACTCACTGCTTAAACTAGGTCCTCACAGGTGGTATGCGGAGCAAGAGAGAATCCAATCTGCTTCAGTCTCAGGGACCCCTGCTTCCAGGACCCCTTGCTAGCCAGGGAAGTAGTCAAAGCACTGACTTCAATGTCATCCACCACCTGGTCATCCTTGGAGAAGCATACATTTCTTTCCAGAGCCTCTCAGGACCTTGAGAGACCTCGGTCATTTATCTTTTTTGAGGCTTCCAATATTTTAAAAAACAGATACCTTCCAAGATATTGTTATTCTGATAACAATATGCATTAAGTGTTTATATTAGCAAATTAATGGGTTTAAACACAATTTATAATGCAATGTAAGTATGCTATTCAAAAGATAAACATAGGATTTATAGGAAATACTGATTCCTAGTGCACTCCACTCAGTGTGGTCCAGGGATGAGATGCAGATTTAAAGTTGTGTCATAATTGTCATCTCTCCATCCTATCAGGACACCTCTGGAACTGCCTGTGTCAGATTTGAAGATAATATCCAAAGCCTAAATCGAAGTCATAGGTCCTGCCCGCTGCCCAGAGGAAAGGCATTCCTAAGGGGTTTTGAGGTAGAGACTTAAGGCTTTCCCAAGGAGTGAGTCAGAGCCAACCAGAGGTCAGAGACCTAAAGAGTAGGAGTTCAGAGGGCAGGACCTTACCTCCATTAGGCCACATGGATTTGGTCTTTTCAGGCTGGCAAATTCCATAGCTCACTTTTCCAGGACTAGGGGAGCAGTCTTGGAATTCAGGAACCAGGTGCCTCTGGCAAATGAGTGCTGGCTCCTGGTTTTGGACTCTGGGGTTTGTATGGGAAATGAAGAAGGTAGGAGGAAGGGTGAGGGAAAGGATACAAACCCCCACCTTTACACCCAAGTGTGGAGCTCTATTATGGTGTCTTACCCCCTCCTGATGTCCTTTGGGGCTTTAGTGATAAGTTTACAAGGTGCTGGGAACAATGAAAGGCCTGGGGCCTCTATCTTCCTATTCTTCCCTCCAAAAATAGACCCTGCTCCTGTGTGTGAGAGGATTCCAATCCCTGCAGCCTTTCCCCTGCATCCCTCCTTCCTCCACCCCTTGCCACTGAATTGCAGTCCTGGGGAAGTAAAGCCGAATTCCCCAGATTAACTTTGCCTCTCTTTGAACCTCCTGGGACTTTCCTCCAAGCCTGTCTTGTGATGTGCATGACTCCCCAAGGATCTTGGTATCTACAAAGACAGCTTTGGGGTCACTGAGAAGCTTAGAACTTTCTTCTTCTTTTCAGTGTGTTGCATTTTGGGCTAAGATCGAGACATAATGGGAGGAGATGCTGAGAGAAGGAGTGGGTCAGCAGGTCCTGAGCCCCAGAAGGAATGGGTGTGGGTACGAAGGGAAGGAGTGTGCCCCTAGCTGGCAGAGTCCCCAGGCCTTCTGCCTCAGCCTGCTTCTCTGTTTGCCACTGGTGGTGTTTGTGCTGCTCACCGCAGGTACGAGAGATCTCTACTCCTTCCGAGGGGCAGATGTGAGGTGCTTTGTATCCCACCCCGGGCTCACGAGTTCAGCTCTGTGGGGTTCTGGGGTGGCTTTCTGGCTTTATTACAACATGGGTTCCCATCTGCCAAACTGTCAGTTCCTGGAGGGTAGGAGATCTGTCTCATTTATCTTTATCTGTCCCCTGTCCTAGATGTTTAGCAAAGTGCTTTTCCACAACAGATGCTCAGTCAGTATTTACAGGAAGAAATGTCACCACACATAAGGTTTTATGCTTCCTTGTCTCTTTCCCCAATACCTTTGTTCAAGGAGAGGGGTGGTATGGAGGCAGCTGCACTTCAGGTTTGGGTCAGAAAAATTGCACCTACCTTCAGTCCTGTGAGCGTTACCTGATGCCCAAGGAAAGCACCTTCCCTAACCCCCAGTGCTGGTCCTCACCCCCTCCTTCCTCAGGCTGCACAGCCCATAAACCCGGTGCCGGCAGCATCCTCCCCAATAGTGTCCTTCCCCTTAAAGCCCCATCCTGGGGCTGGTCACTGGAGTGGAAGCTGTCCAATTGACTTAATTCTGAGTTCAGAGTCATGTTCAGAGAGGAGAATGGGCTTTGCTTACTGTTTTCCTCTCTTGCATGACCGGGTCTGTACCAGTGATGACACTTGGCATTGCCCCTTCCCCGCCGGAAGGCGAGCAGTGCCACAGCCCTTATACATAAGATGCAGTTACTCAGCTTCTTCTCAGGAGAAGCAGGAACCCCGCATGGACAGTGGAACTGGCCTGCAGCTGACCCTCCGAGGCTGGGAATTTCGTGCATTCCCTCTGACCCAGCGTCTTGTGCTACAGGCTTCTTGCAGAGGACCAACAGCCTGGAAGAGAAGAGCCGGCTTGTGAGCGCCTTCAAGGAGAGACAGTCCTCCAAGAACCTGCTTTCCTGTGAAAACAGTGACAGGGATGGCCGTTTCCGGCGCACAGAGACTGACTTCTCCAACCTGTTTGCTCGAGGTAGTCCCCACCTCCCTACCCTCCCCACACCCCCCAACCCTCCCCAGCCCTGTCCAGTACTATCCAGTAGGTTTCTTGTTTAGGTTTTCTTAACCTTTTCCTAAAATTTTACTTCTTTGACCAAATTGATCATTACTCCTTCTGAACTGTCATGAAATGATTTTTCCAGTATTTAAATATAATATACTCCCTTCTTCCCTATGGCCTAGGACTTCATCATTTTGGAAGCTGGATGAGGGTAGTCAGTAAAAACAGTCAACTCCAAAGACACTTGCAGGGACAAATACAGTTTCATAGACTCTCAGAATCCAAAGGAATCTTACATAAGAGAAAATCCAGTGATTCCCATAATAGCATTCATCCTCCAAGGTCGGCAACAACGACAAAATCACTCTGTGGGAAGCTGTGTGGTTGGGCCTAATGACCAAGTACTGTCCTGAAACTCATTTTCCTTTTGGAGATCTTTCATTATTACTTCTGTCCCCACAACTCTGTCTCAGGAGGAGCTTTCCCCATCTCTCCTGAACAGCTTGAAGGTAAACCCCCCTGTGTCCCCTTCCATTAGCTCCCCACAGGCTATAGAGGCCAGACCCAAACAGTCGATAAGACTTCACTAAACCTCAGAGATAATCTTGGGAATCTACACAGAGCATTATGTAAAGCCAATCTGCTCTTGAGCTATGGCTCACCACTTCAGTTGGGGCCCCCCATAGTTTTCCTCCCAGGTTAACCCAGCCTGACTCTGCCTACCAGAGGCTGGAACCCAAAATCACCCCCCAGACATCCCAAAGCCCAAGCCCAAAGGACGAGGTTGAGAGGGAGAGATGTGGGAGTTTCCTTTCCCACCTTTCTGAGCCCCACTTTCGAGCTCTTGTTTTCTAAGGACACTACAGAGGACCGCTCCACTCTGCAGGGGGGACCTCAGCCTCTACCCACAGAACCCTCACCCTCTGCCATCAACGATCAAGTGTATCATAATGGCCAACCAGAAGGCCAGTGTCTGAACCAGATGTAGAGAGACACACACACCTGGTCACAGGGGAGCAGGGCAGAGGCCTCCTCCATCACATTCTTGACAGGTGCCCAGTCAGCCTACAAGTGGACAACAACAGTGACCAGCTGCTCATGGCTTCTAAGAGCTCTCCGTTTATGAGCAGCCTAACTATCGGAAAGTCTGCCAACCTTCAGAAAGTATGCAAAACCTCTGTGTGTAGGCATATGTGCATTTTTCTGGGGAGACGGTACATCAGATTCTCCATGTGTATACATAACCTGGAGTAAATTAGGTCTGTAAAGATATCATGGCTGGTATTTGGGATTTCTGGGCTGAGGAAACCTAGACACGGGCCAGGCGATAATCCTTTGTTGGCTTTCCCCCCTCAGATCTGCTTCCGGCAAAGAATGGGGAGGAGCAAACTGTGCAGTTCCTACTGGAAGTGGTAGACATACTGCTCAACTATGTCCGCAAGACGTTTGATCGCTCCACCAAGGTGCTGGACTTCCATCACCCACACCAGCTGCTGGAAGGCATGGAGGGCTTCAACTTGGAGCTCTCAGACCACCCCGAGTCCCTGGAGCAGATCTTGGTTGACTGCAGAGACACCCTGAAGTATGGGGTCCGTACAGGTAAGGGTGAGAGCCAGATGGGCATGCAGCAGGAACCTTGCCCTCTCTCACGCCCCTGCCAGTTGAGGATGGCAAACCCGTGTGGAAGGTGGTGAGGGAAGGCAGCAGTGTGTTCAGTGACCACAGAACAACCTTGGGCAGTGCCGGGGGTGGAAGGCCCAACCCGGGCAAAAGCTCATCATTTATTGTAAACATAAATTTAAAAATACAAACACACGGTGCTGTGTTAAGTTCTGTATAAAGAGTTTTCATTCTTTGGATTTATTCACAAGCTAAAAAGAGCAGAATGACCTGCTTCCTACTTCTTTTCTCTCCTCCGTTTCATGCCTATTTCATTCTGATAAATCCTACCCTTGCCTGTCCCTAAAACTGGGGAGAATTGGGCCCATTTCCCTCCCTTTCTGTATTAGTTTTCTAGGGCTCCCATAACAACTTACCACAGGCTGGGTGACTCAAAACAACAGAAATGTATTCTCTCACAGTTCTGGAGGCTGGAAGTTTGAAATTTCGGTGTGCAGGGCCATGCTGTCTCTGAAGACTCTTGGGGAGATCTGTCTTCACCTCTTCCAGCTGCTGGTGGTCAAGGGCTTTCCTTGGCTTGTAGATGCATCACTCTAATCTCTGCCTTCACCTTCCCTTGGCCTTCTCCCTGTGAATGTGTCCAAAGTTTTCTCTTCTTATAAGGACACCAGTCTTTGGATTAGGCCTACTCCAATCAGTTATGGCCTCATCCTAACTTGATTACATCTGCAAAGGCCCTCTTTCCAAATAAGGTCACACACACAGTAATCAGGAGTTAGGACTTGATCATATCTTTTTGATGGACACAGTTCAACCCACAACACCTTCTGCTGGCAAGGCAAAAAGGTCACATACATACACACCATTTGCATCCTACTTCAACTTCTGGAGTTTAGATGCTCTGAGTCACTAAATCCTATCTCTAACAGGGGGCCCTTGAGGAAGCCCTCTTGCCTCCTTTTCATGTTGCAGGAACCCTCTCTAATCAGTGGTCCTGGCCAAAGTGGTTACTTCCCAGGTGCCTCAGGTTCAAGGATTTTTTGGGTTTCTATCTGGCTGTTTCTAAGCCTGGGAGTAAAGTAATTGTTTCTTCTCACTGCTTCTTTCCCCACAGCAGTCTGGCTTGCCTGAGCTCTTGGGCACGCAGTTCTGCAGGAACTGGCAATCCATGGCATAGTTGTCACCACAGGGGATCCCCCGATAACCCCTTTTTCTTTTTTCTTCTTTCTCTCTCCCTCTCCTTTATTATCCCTCTCACTCTTCCTAGTCACCTGAAGAGAGATTTAAGGCCAAGACTAGGGAGCTTGGTGGTGATAGAGCTGAGTAAGACTACTGGGTGTCAAAAACAAAGTGTTATAATGGAATAATGAGGCCGGTCAGAGAGGCATTTTTATTTTTTTTTATTTTTATTTTTTAAAGATTTTATTTATTTATTTGAGAGAGAGAGAGAATTAGAGAGAGAGCATGAGGCGGGGAGGATCAGAGGGAGAAGCAGACTCCCCACCAAGCAGGGAGCCCGATGCGGGACTCGATCCCGTGACTCCAGGATCATGACCTGAGCCGAAGGCAGCCGCCTAACCAACTGAGCCACCCAGGTGCCCTGAGAGAGGCATTTTTAAATAAGGAATCCCAAACAGCTTTTGAGGTCTGCCAATGCCACTGAAATAAGTGTAGCTTCCTTGAATAACTGCAGGATGGACAAAGCCTAATTATGTCATAAAGTCTGTGTTTGATTTTTAAAGAAAAGCACACTCATCAATTTAGTTACTGCTCACCTTGGTCTGATGGCTAACCTATTCCTGATGGAGATCAAGTAGTGTTATATAGCTAGATAAAAAAAGAGTCTGGATCCTCCATGTATGTCTTAGCTGGACTTGGTTTAGGCCACTGTTTGTTATTTTGTCAGGCCTCTCTGTATGCACTTTCTCAGAGAGATGAAACCATGTACTTCTATCATTAAAGCTCAGAATAGTGTTGTCCTTCAAAGAAAAATACATGGGTTCCTCATAACTAGCAGCTTATACTGCCTACAAAACGGAAGCATCACATGGTCATAGGAGCATGGACTCATATGAGTGCAGTGTATGACTCCACTTAGTTAGCCTGCAGCCATTCATCCCTGTTCGTTAACGTAGCATCTGGGAGCAGGTACTTACATTTATAGAGTTCATGATTTCTCGGGCCATGTGAAACCTTCAGTTGCATCTCAGGGTGTTGACCCTGGGAAAGTAAACTGTTGCTGCCATATGAAAACACAGCTCCTGGTTGCTGAGCTGTAATCAGATGTAGATCAGAGCCATAGGGTAAACCCCACAGGTAGCCACACACAGTGCAAGGTAGTTTTTTTGTTTTTTTTTTTAAGGGTATTAATACTCAGCCAAAATAATGAATTGGGCTTTAATAGTGAAAACATTGTCTCTTATCTCTGACTGAGCTGGCTGCAGTTTGTGAAGAGATGATGGTATTTGGAAATTTCTTTACAAAGTAACAAAATATTTCTGAAAAAAAAAAAAAGGAACAAGTACGTATAGATTTTTCATGACCTGATACAGACACTGTTAGCCCTCAACCACAGTAGCTATACCAACTCCCGTAGTTCTTTTTTTTTTTAACTATGTATTATGGAAAAGTTTAAACTTATACAGAAGTAGAATAGTGTAATGAATCCTATGTAACCAACACTCAGCTTCAACTCTTATCAATTCCTGACAACTTTGTTTCACTTTGTCCCCTCCCGCTTCTCTATTATATGGAAGCAAATCTCAGATATACTATTTCATCCATAAATATTCTTTTGGGGGCGCAGGAGGAAGCCACCTTCCCTTTTTTATTTATTTATTTATTTTTTAAAAAGATTTTATTTATTTATTTGATAGAGAGAGAGAGCACAAGCACAAGCAGGGGGAGCGACAGGCAGAGGGAGAAGCAGGCTCCCCGCTGAGCAGGGAGCCCAATGCGGGGTTCGATCCCAGGACTCCGGGATCATGACCTGAGCCGAAGGCAGACCCTTAACCAACTGAGCCACCCAGACATCCCCATAAATATTCTTCATTCTCAATAACTGCTTTCTTTTAAGAGGGGGGCAGGGGCAGAGGCCGAGGGAGAGAGAATCTCAAGCAGACTCCCTGCTCACTGAGATCATGATCTGAGCTGAAATCAAGAGTTGGCCACTTAACCAACTGAGCCACCCCAATGCCCCCTCAAGAACTCTTTAAAAAATAAATAACCACTCGGGGTGCCTGGGTAGCTCAGTCAGTTAAGCGGCTGACTCTTGATTTCAGCTCAGATCGTGATCTCAGCTCAGATCTCGATCATGAGATCGAGTTTGCGGCAGGCTCCACACTCATTGGGGAGTCTGCTTGAGATTCTCTCTCTCCCTCTGCCCCTCCCCCCACATTGGTGCATGTGCGCGTGCGCTCTCTCTCTCTCTCTAAAGTAAAAAATAAATCTTTAAAATAAATAAAGAACCACAATATCATTGTTAGATCAAAAAAATCCAAAATTCACAGTTCCTTAATATCAAGCATTCAGTCAGTGTTCAAATTCCCAGTGGTCTCATGAATGTTATAATTCATTTGAGTCAGGATCCAAGCAAGTCCTCCACATTGTAATTGTTTAGTATATCTCTTAATAGATTTCTCCCTCCATTTTTTTCTCTTGAAGTTTATTGAAAAAATTAACTTTGAAAAAATAACTCTTTCTCCCACTACCTGACTTGGTACCACATCTATCATCTGTTATTTCATTGAATAAAGAGATTTGAAATTGAAATTTAAAAGAGGTCATTTTGTTACTTGATAGAAATTCTGGTATAAGATTTTGGGGACATAATGTTGTAGTCGTAAGATAAAAGTAAGGTTTTAGACAACTTCGTTTCCTTTATATATCCGAAGAACAAAGAGATACTGTTTCATGTTTATTTGAGGGCATTTGTGTCAGTCTGTCTATCTTTGTTCATCTTTTGTCTCTGCCATATTGAGTGGCTTTGATACATGGTCCAATAGTGTGATTCCGTTTAATATATATATATATATATATATATATATATATATATATATATATATATATATATATATGGTCTTGTCTTGAAATGTTTATTGTTATGGGGTGCCTGGGTGGCTCAGTCGGTTGAGTGTCTGTCTTTGGCTCAGGTCAGGATCCCAGGGTACTGGGATCGAGCCCTATATCAGGCTCCCTGCTCAGCGGGGAGCCTGCTTCTCCCTCTCCTCCCCGCTTATGCTCTCTCTTGCTCTCTCATTGCTATCTCTGTCTCTCTCAAATAAATAAATAATATCTTTAAAAAAACATTTATTAAAAGTTTTCAAATGGATATTGCGTATTTTTTTAATGGATAGCAACAACATTTGTTAGGTTGCAGGAGATCTTGTAGATTCTGTTGGCAGTGAGCAAAGTAGAATAAAGTGGACTGGCTTAAGCATTTAGAGTAATCTACATGAATGTCTGGAATCTGGCCCCATAATTACACTAAGCTTACTGTCTATGAATCTTTCATTTTTTTCCCCTGAGGAGCAGGAATATTTTTTGAGGACTCTGGAGGTATGGTGATTAGTATACTCTAAGAAGTCATAGTCTGGATGTTCTAAATGAGTCTCCATTACATCCAAGGAGGAATAGACATTTTCAGAGAGGGGGCTCAGACCAGGAACATTCAAACACCAGCTCTCTGACAGTTATTTCAGAGGCAAAAGCAATTTCTACTGGAAACACAGCAGTCAGCATATCTCCCTAACACCAGTTCTCTGTCACACACCCCTAGATAATCTATTGCATTGACACCTTCGCGACAGCCTAGCCAAGCCTGCTGATGTGGGATCGAGATTTCCTGTGCACGCCAAGTTGGCCAAAACTTGGCAACAATCCTGAATTTGCTGAGAACAAAGCTTGTTAAAGCATCCTCTGTGTTGCAAAGGGTTTCAGAGTTATAAAGTAATAACAATTATTTTACCAACAACTTGATGAGTAAAGGAGGCTATATTTGCCTCAGTTTCACAGAGGAGATGCCAGGTCATCTATCTCAGCAATAAATTTAGTTTAATGGTCACCTGACTATATATGGGCAAAAGACACCAATGCTTGACATCATATTTGAGTGACACAGAGATCCAGAGACGGCATGCCCTCAAAATCAGCCTCAGAGCTGGCACTTTTCCCGGGCTTGGTTTGGTCCACAGAGCCACAGACCCTCTCTGAGGCCTGTAGGCTCTCCTCCATCAGTAAATGTTGATCTACTTGATCTTGAACCCTTGAGATGTTAAATTGAAAGTTGAAATATTTATAAATAAAACTAGGATCACCACATCCTGATTTGTAATTTAAAAGATTATTATGACAGAGAAGTTCATCTGAAAATCAACAAATTAGATACCAGAAAGATTATTAGTGTCATGACATAGGATTTTTTTTTTTAACTTTAAAAGCATTCTGCTTCAGAAGCATAAGTTTGGGGAACATCATTAATGCTAAAGGTTAGTATAGCAAGGGTCAACCCGCCCTTCCTTCCCCAATATCCTTGGGCAGTCCTGTTAGACTGCTGGGATGGAGGCACCATAAGTATGGCCAGCCTTTTGCTTTGGAGAGAGCTTAAAAAATTTGGGTTTGCCTTGATGCTTGCCTGTTACTCATCTTCCCAGGTCATCCTCGATTTTTCAACCAGCTCTCTACTGGATTGGATATCATTGGTTTAGCTGGAGAATGGCTGACATCAACTGCCAATACCAATATGTAAGTTCCACATATTATTTTCATATAAGCAACCATGATATGTGATTATGGCTTGTTGCTTTAAAAGTGCACTTCCAATGGTTCTATAATAATTTATTACGGTTTTCCTAGTCATCTTTTCTCTTAAAATCTTTTAGCTTTATCACAGTTCTGATTTAATAGTAAATATTCGGGTGCCTGGTGGCTCAGTCGTTAAGTGTCTGCCTTCGGCTCAGGTCATGGTCCTAGGGTCCTGGGATCGAGCCCCACATTGGGCTCCCTGCTCGGCGGGAAGCCTGCTTCTCCCTCTCCCACTCCCTCTGCTTGTGTTCCCTCTCTTGCTGTGTCTCTCTGTCAAATAAATAAATAAAATCTTTTAAAAAAAATAATAGTAAATACTCAATAAGCTATTTTTAATGAATAATGCAATTTAATAAGAACATGGTCATGAGAAAGAATAATTCTAGCTTTCAGAATTTAGTGTGAAATTTCATGTTAAAAGACTCCATGTCCCTTAATGATGTATCTAAAGTGGTCCATTCCATATTTTGGAATATGATCTTGGTCCGTTTTCCTATCTAAGTAGATTGGTCCTCATCATTTAGGGCTATATTTCCTTCACAGTTAAAGCTGCCAGAGAGCCACAAACCAGTTTGATCAACCTATTGCTTACCTAAAAATTCTAAAACAAAATTCAACTGATAGTGATATATATTCCTTTCAAAGTAACTCATTGTTTTTCTAAATTTGACATTTTTTTCCATACTTGTTTGGGTTGACAAAGCCTTCATTCATTTCCAATTTCTTATACATTTATATGAAAGTGACTCTAAGGTCCTGGGGTGCAAGTACTTCCTGGGTAGTCTTGCAATCACCCCAGAATTTCCTCTACATACACATGCCCTCTTTGGAGACAAGGACGGGTTACAAGTTGATGGAGGGTCATTATAGCCTACTGAGTACTGTCTTTTCTCTCAACACTGTGATAATATTTTAGGATTATCTATACACCCAGCCCATGGAACCACATTCTACTAAAGTATCCAGGGGAAAATAATAAAACAAGTTTCTAACAATAATTCTTTAAATAGCTACATAAGAATTATATAAGTTTTAGTTACTGTAGAAATACTTAGAAAATAACCATCCACTTTTTAAGTTCATGGTAAAGTAGATTTGAAAAACAAATTTAGGTGAAAGGGGGATATTGTTTAAAATGAGAAATTCCATTTGATATCAAGATAGAATGTAAGTTATTGAAGTTCCAGGTATTCTATTTTTCTTAAACAAGCTACTACCAGCCACAAAACCTGAAAAGTCACTTTAAATTATACATTGGGGTGGCTGGGTAACACAGTTGGTTAAGCATCCGACTCTTGGTTTCGGCTCAGGTTGTGATCTCAGGGTTGTGAGATCAAGCCTCAAGTAGGATTCCACACTCAACACAGAGTCTCCTTAAGACTTTCCCTCTCCCTCTACCCTACACCTGCCCCTCCTGTGAGTTCTCATTCTCTCTCTCTCTCAAATAAATAATCTTTTTTTAAAATTATACATTGATACATGTGTGTGCCAAAGCTATTTAATGCTGTGACTCAAAATATCTAACTGCATTCAGAAAAGTTTCTACTGGGGCACCTGGGTGGCTCAGTTGGTTAAGCATCTGCCTTTGGCTCACGTCATGATCCCAGGGTCCTGGGATCGAGCCCGCATCTGGCTCCCTGCTCAGTGGGGAGCTTGCCTCTCCCTCTCCCTCTGTTCCCCAGCTTGTGCTCTCTCTCTCTATCTCAAATAAATAAAGAAAATCTTAAAAAAAAAAAAAAAGAAAGAAAGAAAAGTTTCTATTAATTAAGGATTCCTGCTTTGTTTGCTAACTTAAAACAACAGTGACAAATTTTTTAAAAGCAAATGTGACAAGTGAAGCCTTTAGTGCTAAAAGGCACAAAAGATTAAATTAATTGGAAACAAAAACGATTTTCATGCTCCCTGTTTGCAAGTCATGGTTAACTTCATGGAGTGTCTGTGTTGGAGCACTGAGGCTATGAAGAGCCAAGAGGAATTGGGGTCAAAGATACAAGGGCTTATATGGCCTCCTCTAACAAAAAACTTGCCTTTGCAACCTTTACTGTGGTATGATTTGTGAGATAAAATATATCAGCAAGCCCAGACATCATAATGTACTAATTATAACTTGAAAAAAGACACTAATGCTTAATTGGAGCATCTCACACTAAGGAACAATTTTAAATTGGGAAGTACAACTTTTTAATGAGAAAAGTAGAGCGAAAGGTATATATCCATTAAAGCCCAAGTACTCATATTAACATAGGCTCTGAATTCACCCAGCGTCTTTAAGTGCATATATCCCAATCTCAAGGTAAATAAAAGGAACTCACTCTTTTGAACCGTTCATGACCAGATATTCTCCTAAAAGGCTTTTCTTCAATCCGAGAGATCTCACAAATTCTCCTTTTTGTGTGTGTTCATAAAATCAAGACCCTTACTCTTTCCTTACCTCAGCTCAGCCATGAAACACTAAAATACGTCCCAGCCATCTGAGGTCAAGGCCAGTCCAACTAAATGGCACATAGTAATTGCAGCTGTACTGAACACAATATGACCCAATTCCAGCAGATCGATAGAGAAGGTTATTTAAAATAGTGAAATAGTTTCTGTCAGTTCTAGAGACAAGGCATTGTCTGAAGAAGTAATAACTATTATCTAGAAATTGTTCTAAGTCCGTTCCCCTGGAAGATCATGAAATGTGGCAGCACTGTTAGAAGCTGATGCAGAAATTTGCTCCCTCGGGACAGTTTCTTCTCCAACTGGGGACAGTGTTCAAAATAAACCTGGGAAAGAATGACAAAAGGATTTGTCTTTGGCAGAGTAGGATTTAATTAGTGACATACTCATGTTGATAACCTGCACTATCATTGCATTTGGGTGGCACTGGAAATAGTAACAACTATATTCCTCAGTATAGTCTTTCAGAAAGAACCATCCAGGCTCCCAATTCAAGTAGCAAAGCTTAAGGGATCTGACTGCTCACAGAAAGCAGAAAGAACGTTGATGTTCATGCTTTTACACCTGTCTGTGCATATAGCTTTGAGATCTATTCTTCCAAGCAAGGACCCAGTGAAGACCCAAAGAAGACTTCACAAATATGTAGTTTTTCATGGCATGTCCAGCTCTTTTCTTCCAAAACAGGGCTCCTGAGCACAACTGTGCAGGCTGAGCAGTGCCCAAGTGCAAACAACAGCCTTCCCTCAAGCACCTAATGACAATACATAATCTCAGTGGCAAGATCTATCACAGCCCTTTGTTATGAGGTTATGGTTTCAAGTATCCCGTGCTTTATTTTTCATAGAAATTACACAGGAGAAATTTTCTTTGGGAGTTATCAGTCATTTTGTACTGCTAGGCAGGTTGTTAGAGAGGAACCTGCAGTAAGCAGATCTCGTTTGTCATAGAAAAGCATCTGGGAGGTAAAAAGCCTGGGAATTCTGACTCTGAAACATACTGAGATCTTAAAGCAAATCACTGGATTTCTTTGAGCCTCCGTTCCTCCTTCAGAAAATGAGAGATAATAATATCCATCCTATAGAGTGGCTCTGAAGACTGGAGAAGGCACCAGTCTTAAGTGCCCAGTGTATGCAAGGTGCAATGAACACACCTAGGAGGGGCAGCCACCACACAGGTCACTGTCACCATTTGAGATGCCTCCCAGCCCTTTTGTTTCTGTATGTCATTATCTCTGGAAACCAGAGAGCCTCACTAAGTTTCCCCTCAGACATGTTATCTTTTAAGGTGAAGATGGGCCACCTGCCACATCTGTAAGAAGGAGAAATCTAAGAGGAGTGTATAGTTAGAGAGTCCACATAGAAAACTATTTCTTTTTCTGATTAAAGAAGTTCCCAGTTTGACAGTCACCAGGGATCCAGGTTCCTTGTGACTTTCCAATCCATACTATAGCACATGGCTCTCATACTCAGAGTCACCTCATGGTGCAGGCTGGCTGCTGGAGCTCTAGCCATCACTTATGTGTTCCAGAATTAGGAGGGAGGGAGGGAAGGAGGGAGAGAGGGAGGAAGGAAGGAAGGAAGGGAGGAAGGAAGGGAGGGAGGGAGGGAGGGAGGGAGATGGAGGAAAGAAAGGAGAGGAGGGAGGGAGGGCAAGCGCTCAAAAAGGGAACACACTCTTTCCTTCTAAGAAACCTTTTCAGAAGTGACCCACACAACAGTTCCCATAGCATCTCTTTAGCCAGAACTTAGTCCCATGGCCACACCTAGGGAGGCTAGAAAATGTAGTCTTTGATCTAGGTGAATTGCAACCCCGAATGAAGCAAGGGAAAATTGATACTGGTTAGCAACCAGCAAACTTTGCCACAAGAGAAATACAGCTTCTTAACAATTTGCCTTAGTTTGGAGTGAATCCCACTAAGAAGTTGAGTTGAACCACTAAAAAGGGCAGACCCACTACCCTACTCAGAACATAGAAAGTCTCTGAACTCTCCTTTAGAGTGTCACTCATGATCATCACCATCCTGTTTTGAGCCCTTACTTCCAATCCCATGTTCTTAACTTCACCCCACAGCCTTTTGCAGTTTTAACTTCTTGTTCTCTGATTCTGAAATGTCATCTTGTACTCTGGCTTTAGCATCTAACCAGCTTCTTTTGAATCCATATTTGACCTTTGATCTCTTGGCTTTATTTACTTTTATCTGTCATTTAGGGAAAGGGTACCTAACTTGGAGTTCAGGTTGCAAGAAAAGAATCTCCTATAATACAAAAATGATGTCCATATCCTCATTTTCTTCCTGGAGAGAGGGACCATAGCTTTCCTAGGATTCCCAGAGGCTTCCATGACCCCAATTAAAAACCACTGCTCTAGGGTGAACTTCAAGGCCTTCTATAAGGCTTTGGGTATAGGCAGACTCCCAGTTGTTAACATGGTCCAGGATGGGAAGGAAGGATAAGAAAAGTGTCAGAAACAGAGAACGCTATGTTAACCCATTTGTCAGGCTTGGCTGAGGATCAACAGCCATGGACCAATCTATCAGCTTCCAGAAGAGGATGTCAGGACTAAAGCCGTGGATCAGAATAAGCTTGGTGTTAGCTATGGGATAACTGGTCCTTCAGACCCCAGCAGGGACTGTCAAACAGGATGCTGCAAGGCCAAGAAGCAGACTGGACTCATCCTAGTAAGTTTCCTCCTCAAGGCTGGGAATGGTGTCATAACATCTTCGTCTCCTCAGTACGTAAGATGCCACCTAGCAGAGAATAGTCACTCAATATGTATTTATTGAACAAAACTGAGAGACAAATTTAGGAACTGGGTACCTGGTACAGATGAGAAAACTGAAACAGATGAGATCAAATAGTCTCATGGTCAAACTCTCTAGACTCTTCCGCCTAATCCTGAGAGTAGTGGCCATGTTCCTGGTCCTTACATAGAATCACTAATTCATACAAACCTAGGATCTAAATTGATTTAAATCATGAAGTGGACCAACCCCCTGGCCTTCAGTGCCATCCCTTCTCCCTTCCCCATGTGGTTCCTGCCTGGCCATCTAACACTGACTTGACTCCCACTCAGCTTTCGTCTAATCCTTGATAAGGTTCTGATATTATGGTGTGTGATTCCATTTGTTCCTTGCCTTTTCCCAGGGAAATTCCAGCACGCATGCCACCAGTACCTCTCCACCACGGAAACATTTTTGCCATTCCAACATTTCCAAAACTCAGTGGCACTATTAATACCACGTTTGTTCGAGAATGGTTGGAAGCACATCATGAGTTTGCCTCTTGGGTGCACTCAGCAGCACAGGCTAAACCAGGAATCCTTCTCTTCTTCTTCCTTTATCAGGCCATCAGACATGAGGGAGTGTTGGTTGCTACGGTGATGGGGCTCAGAGCAGAACCAAAGCATGATTGTGACCTCCAGAGGTGATGGTAACTGAACACACGATTTCCAAGGGTCTTCCTCCTAAATTTCAAGGGTCCTCCCAAGGAAAATGGACATATTCTTTTTGGAAACAAAATTCTTCTACCAACGGATATATCCTGAGTGTCCTCCAGGATCTCTTTGTCCTCTTTTACCACCAAGTGATTAATTTGATGGCTTCCCCCCAACTCCATGATTAAAACTTAGTAGCTTCACCTGTGTCTTATTGTACAATTGTTACCTCATCCTTGCAAATAGCTTTTCTAAATCATGAAGCCAGCAAGAATTCCCATTAGTCCTCAGCATTGGTGTTCAGCCCAAACACCCTAATCAATGGTAAAGTCTCCCCATATCACTTGGCTGAGTCAATCTAGGAATCTCTCTTCAGCAAGCATGGTCTGAGCCGAGCCCACTGGCTTTAATGCTTAAGAAGACCAAACAAAAAGCAGAAAGACAAAGAGCCTCAGAGTCAGTAAATATCTTTTTGTTTCCTGGCTTAATTTTCTATGGATGGGCCTTCTTTGAATTCTCTTAAGCCCTATCCTTGGTAACACAATCTTGTTTCAATGACTAGTCTATTTGACTGTGCTTCTGTTCTCAATTGCTTTGAGAAGAGTATGGCTTGCTACTTCTAAATCGGTTTGTTAGAAGACAAAACTAGCCTACCAGGATATCTGATAGCCTGCAGTTAGCTGTGTATGCCAGTTGACTATCTTCTTATTATTTATAATTGGTAATTAGAAAATCATCACTTATAATTATTCTTGACAGATACTGACTTCAGAAATTATAGAAACATAGCTGTCCTTGGGGATTATCAGTAGAAAAACCATGTAGATAATTATATTGAGATCTTTAAAACCTGGGTCAATACTTCCAATTAGATTCACAGTTAGCGTTCAGATGTTTACATTGTTTTTAAAAGATAGATTTTGGCTCTGGGTTTTATAGATTCTACAAGTATGAAACTGGCAGTCGGTTTCGGTCAGTTGCAAACCAATTTTATGTAGATCTTAGAATACATTTTTTCAATTAACATTTGCATCATCTTAGATCTTAGAGGTGAAGGAGACCCAGGAAAGTCATTTTCTTTCCTTCTATTTTTCTGGGTGGACCACATCTAAGACATTCCATTCAGATAAAAATCTATTTTGTTGATGAGAAAGCACAGAGCAGGCACTTCCACCACCTCTCTAGGTAACCCCGGCTGGTTTCTGATATTTTATGATTGGTGACTTACTGCATTTCCAGGAAATAAATGTTTTAGGGGTTTTGAATACACCTTTTTTTAGAACCCAAGTACAAGTACTAAACCTATCATCTGTGTTCCCCAAACAAGTGGTATGACTTCTGTATGTTCATTTTTTTTCTCACCACCTTTTCAGGTTTACATATGAAATTGCACCAGTATTTGTCCTCATGGAGCAAATAACACTTAAGAAGATGAGAGAGATAGTTGGATGGTCAAGTAAAGACGGTGATGGGATATTTTCTCCTGGTATGTTTCTCTTCTCTTTCCCTGACTCTCCTCAAGATTTGTAGAACACTAAACATAAAGTGAGTTTGTGAAAGAATACCGACCTTAAAAGATATTTTTTGCAATACTCCTGCCCTGTCTTTGTCAGGGCGAAGGCTAGCAAGAATACTGCATACTGCGTGCACTATTTAACAGAGCTTGTGCCTCAGCCGTAAAAGCTGACAAAAGTTGTGTTCAGCCGTAAAAGCTGACAAAAGTTGTGTTCAAATCATGCTAAACAACTAGTCCATCAAGAACAATTTGCTTAGTCTGGGAATCAGTGAATCAACAGTATCAACTGACTAACCAATTTCAGCCAAAATAGTGTATCTACTTTGACTCTTTGGTTTGATGTAAATACAATAAGAATCTTCAAAACAAGGACAGATATTCTTGAAGGTAAGAAGCACTGTGGGGTGGTGTCAAAGCAGCATGATTGTGTACAAGGGGAAGAAAAGAAATAAGAATTACAATTGTCCAGGCAATTCAAGTTGGCCGTGAATTTGCCTGTTTAATTGTCAAGGAATTGCCAGACATATCTAGTTACCTCCATTCTCCTTGTGATCTTTGTTTAAGTAAACACAAGTTTAGTTTTATTTTAACAAACTTAGAGCTCTCCCAAATGACTCAATAACTCAGTTGAGCTGTTCTTTGAGGAGAGTATCCAGGCAATGTCACTGTTTCCTTCTGTAGGCTCCGTTACTCTCCCTTTTTCTGTCTTTCTGACTCAGAGAATAGATTCATCTTTGTTCGGTAAATAGATGGAGCAGAATGTCAAAGCAGGAAAGTTGTAACTCACCCGTCTCTTTGCAGCCACTGCCATTGCCACCTCTTATATCTCTGTCTAGGCTTCAGGTGGAATGGGCCTTGGAGTACATGAATCACCTCCAGCCAAATTGCCTAGATGGCTTTGGTAATGAGTGTGACTACTCGTATTCCCAAGGACCAGAGGGAAGCCTGGCAATAGGGAAGCCAGCAAAACCTATCAGGATCTTGTCCCTCCCCTTTCTGCCTCCTTTGTCTCTTAAGACACCAGCTCAGTCTTCGTTATTAGAAACAATAATGATGGAGCTTCACACCTCCCAATGTATCCGCTTGCTCATAGGGGGAGCCATCTCCAACATGTACAGCATCATGGCCGCTCGCTACAAGTTCTTCCCAGAAGTTAAGACAAAGGGCATGGCGGCCATTCCCAAACTGGTCCTCTTCACCTCAGAACACGTGAGTTGGGTGCTCTTGCTTGTGGATTATGGTGTTTTACAAGGGACTGTCTAATTTCTAACCTCAATCCTCTGTTTGTTGCAGAGTCACTATTCCATAAAGAAGGCTGGAGCTGCACTTGGCTTTGGAACTGACAATGTGATTTTGATAAAGTGCAATGAAAGGTAGGCAGGGGAGAGTGAATATTAGGTTCTTGATGTATTAAATGTGTTCATCTGTTAAATTTGTTTTATTGTGCTTAAGCACTGACTCAGTACAGTGTGCCAAGCTGCTAATGGTCTGTTGAAAATGTCCGATTAAATTACTTTTTGCTGCTGCTGAAGTTTCTTTCATGTGCAGTCTCATTGATTCTTCATTTTAATTTCTCTTCCTTTTAAATAATTATAGAGGGAAGATAATTCCAGCTGATTTAGAGGCGAAAATTCTTGATGCCAAGCAAAAGGTATGTACTCTGTGGTGCACCAAAACTCTGGTGAATACAAATTTTTAAAAATATCTTCTTTCTGCCCTAGACAATAAAAGTCTTTGATAATATAAGAGGTAATTTTATTGTGTTTCTAAAATTACAATGTCAGGTATTTGCTTATTTCCAATTTGAGATGATTCCACTTTAAACCTGTGTCTATACAATGTCATTTTTTTTTTAATGAGAAACTCAGTCTTAATTAAGCCACTTGTCCTATCTTTATTATGCCAAGTGATTAGTTCGATGTACTTCAATAAATCCACTACCCAATCATCATGAAGATACAGCCTAATTGAGCTTTTTACTTGCTACTTGTTAGGTATAATCTCATTTTAACAAATACCATTTTAGCTTAGGCTTCTGTTTAGCAGAGTGCTTCCATGCCTTGGCAGATGGCCCATGGTACTTGGTGAATCTAGCCTCAATAAATTCTATTAAACAACAACAACAAAAACCTGACAGAACAGATGTATCCACAAGGCACTGCCAGGTAGCTATCAGGCATTTACCAACTCGTTGTTTTGGTTACATCCTTGTACCTCATTCTCTAGCCTTAGCTGTTTGCTGGTCAGTAGAGGAGATGGATGGAAATGTCAGTAGGATTGAACAACGGGCATGGGTGGAGCTGAGCTTGAAAAAAACCTAGGACTCCTAGATTCTCCCAAGCCTGTCTTAGCCCTATTACTCCACTCACTCATGTATTTCTTGTTCACATGAAAATTTTACTGTGTCGACTATTCGTGAATGTTTCAGCTTCCACTGGGTTTTAAATAACCAAACAATGCCTCAGTATAATTATTACATCAATACCCTTAGAGCAACACAGCTTCTAAAATGTATAATACCCAGATGATGTTCAGAGCTACCCGCCCATCACTTCAAACACTTATTATTATTCTTTCCTGCTTTCCTCTTTGCCATAGAACTTACCGCTGTTGAACATACTGTGTATTTTGCTGCTTTAATTTTGTTTGTTGTCTGTCACTCCCCACTAGAATGTTAGCTCCATGAGGACAGAAATCTCCATCTGTTGTGCTCACTGCCGTAGTCCTCTACAGCTCAGCAAACAGGGCCTGGCATGTAAATGTTGCTCAAAAGCTATTTGTTGAACGAATGAGTAAATGGACCAACAAAGAATCCTCCCAGATACCGTATCTGACAGCACATCGGCTTAGCTGATCTCTGTTAGAAAGAAAGGCTATTGCAGCTCTTCTACTTCATGTGGAAAGGAGAGGGTTAAGAAGACTCATCAGCCTGTCTTTCTTCCCTTGTAGGGATTTGTTCCTCTCTATGTCAATGCAACTGCTGGTACGACGGTGTATGGAGCTTTTGATCCAATACAGGAGATTGCAGATATATGTGAGAAATATAACCTATGGCTACATGTCGATGTAAGTGCTATCACTCACAGTGTAACCAGTCCGTTAGGGGGTGGAAACCGCTCTGCTTTACAATTTGCTGCAAGCTTCTCCCCATGCCCCAGCCAGCCCTCTCTCTACGTCCCATCAGCTCGCCCTCCTGTGGCCTCCAGCCGGCCATTCATGATGGGTACATACTATAGGCCTGTACATCATCTAGGACTCATCTGGCTCCTCCCTGGCCCACCGCTGTCTTCTGCGGTCTTTGTGAGAATACAGTCCCCCTCACCCTTCCAGGAAGCTTGTGTCTAGACAAATGGCCACAGAGTGGAATATAGCTGGTTTCAGAGGGGAAAAAAGTATAAGCTACAACATATAGAAAGTAGCCGTGAATCCAGACACTCAGCTGCCTGCCTTCAGTCTAGCCATCTATGACCCTTTAAAAAAAAAAAACCCATGTATCTGCATGTAGGAAAAATATGGCCCTATAGGAAGGTGTTATCAACAAAGAAATTTAGTCCCAAATTTTCCTAGGAACATAAAAGGTACATTTTCCACATGTGAGACTGGGTGTATTTTTTCCTTTTTCTCTCTCCATTCTCTTACGGCTATAACTTCTCACAACTGGACAGTTGGGTAATTTGCCCGACTGTTGAGCACATGACCAACAAAGGCTGTTGTTGTGGCATGTGGTGTCCCAAGCCGTTCAGTAAACACGCATCAACATACCCACAAAAATGTCTCCCTGTTGTGGGACCTCCGAGCCTGGCAGAGTTGCTGCTTTCTGACTTTTTTTCAGGAGCCCTTAGAATTCTACCCGAGGGAGAATTGGATGGCAGGCTCCAGTCCTTTGGGTCACTTCCAGAGCCATGGTGGGGCTCACTGAGCGTCCTTGGCTTTCCACAGGATGCTGGGCCTTTGGGTCTTGGCACCCCAGGCTCAGACCCGATTTATCTGTATCATTCGCACAGCCCCTCTGCGGTTAACCTGGAGGAACTTTTGACGAAGAAGTGACAGATGATAAATAATTACAACTGCCACTGGTTGAACAATCAGTTGTGGGTTCCTTTTGTCAAACAAACTCATGCTTTTCACCATTTACGTTCTCTTTCATATTTTACTAGAGGTGTGGAGTGATTGGTTTGTGAGTCTTAAATGTCACTGCTCCCCCTCCCTCCCCTGTCTCTGTCCTCACAGGCTGCCTGGGGCGGCGGGCTGCTCATGTCCAGGAAGCATCGCCACAAACTCAGTGGCATAGAAAGGTAAGGGCCTGAACTCAGGGCCGCCTTTCATCCAGGCCATCAGACGTGCTGGGCCACCCCGTCCGCTGATGTTCCCCACCCTGATTCCCAACATCTTACTTCCATCGGACTAGGTCCACCTTAGTTCAGTAGGCATTTACTGAGCAATTATTGTATGCTAGGCCCTGGGAAATCAAAAATGATTCCCAGTCAAACAAGTCCTCAGTGAGTTCACCATTTAGAAAGAGAGAAAGATAAGTAAACAGTGACAACACAATGTGGTAAGCACGACAGACGTGATTGCTAGGTGGCCAGCTGGTAGAGAAGAGAAAGTAAGCAGTGCAGGGATCTAGAGGCTAAGGGAGAGTTTGCCAAGGGCACAGAAAGGGGCCCGGATTCAGTCCACTCTTCTCTCTCATTAAATTTACTGCTGAGAGTGGGGTAGTTCTAACTAATGTAGTTGATCTAACTCAGTTGATCAGTTGATCTAACTAATTTATTTTCTTGCTTGCCATTTAAGTTCAGTGGGTGGTTCTAAGCTAAATATGATTTTTTTCCCCTAACCCATTCTACTTTTTATTTTTTCTGGCCCAGTATCAGAGCCATTTCTGCACAAGCTCCCAAACTGAAGCCCCCCCTTTGTTCCCTGTTCTTCTCAATCACTGAGTTTATTTGGTTGGCGGTCAAAGCCTTTGGCATGTTTGGATCTTGCACCCATTGCAAATGGCAGTCCCCTCTCCTGTCACCTACAGGGGCTGAAGAGGCAAAGAAGATTACCCAGAGGAGCACTGAGGCATCGAAACCCATCTGGGCTTTTCCCAAGTCATTCATTGCTGCCAGGACACCCCTACCTTGACCTAGGAGAACCAGGTCCCTACCCCACCAGCTAGAATTAGAACCATTTCTTGTGTTCACTTGCTAACCTGGCACATTTCGTGTCAGGAACAGAAGCTTCTGATCAGAGAGAATGTAGTCATAAACCAAACATGATCTTAACCTGACTCCAAAGATTTGATCCAAAACGAGCTCACTTCGATTCATTTATTCATTAAGCAAATATTACTGAGCACCTGTCATGAGCCAGGCAGGCATGGATGTGAATACTCAGTTACCTGCCTTCAGTCTAGCCATCTATGGCACTTTTCTAAAAAAAAAATGTGTATCTGGTACACGTAGGAAAAATAAGGCAGTATCTAGAAGGTGTTATCAACTAAGAGATTTACCTTCCTGAAGCTTACCATCCAGTGAGCTAGCTGTTCATAAACAAGGATATATTCAGTCTGCCTCATAGTAAAGAAAAATAAAGGAGGGTAGTAAGGACAAAGGCATGCCATTTGAGACAGGGTAGTCAGAGGCCTTCCTGAGGATGTGACATTGCAGTGGATACTGGGATAAAGGGAGACAGGAAGCAAGGATACATAAAAGAGTATTCCAGGTGGTGGAAGGGCAAGTATGAAGGCCCTGGGGTAGGACTGTTCTTGGCAAATTGGAGGACCACCAAGAGGCCAGTGTGGCTGGAGCAAAGTAGAAGAGGTAAGAGCAGAGTGAAGTGGAGAGGTGGGCTGGGAGCAGGGAAAACCCACCAGTGGCTTCTCTCACAGCAAGGACTCTGGCTTGAGTTTCAGTTACCTCTACTGTGCCTCTTCCCTTCAGTTTTGGAAGGCCAGGGTCAAGGTGAGTAGGACGGACTCTTTGAAGCATAATTATACGACCCTGTGACTTGGAGGATAATATACTAAATGTAGATGAGCCAGTCAAACTCAACTTTAGATTTCTCAGGCAATTTCCATTTTCCATCTTTGAGTCCAGGAAAACCTGAAACATTGTGCAGAGATCTTTCTAACATTTTAAAGCACATACGTCTTCTAAAAGAAATTGAATCCATATCATGTCTTGTTACTTTATACTTGGAACAGCAAAGAACCATTTACTTCCGACCTCTAAGACATTCAAAAAACCATTTAAGACATTTTATGAGATCTAAATAAAAAATTTTAGGGCACCTGGGTGGCTCAGTTGGTTAAGCAACTGCCTTCGGCTCAGGTCATGATCCTGGAGTCCCGGGATCGAGTCCCGCATTGGGCTCCCTGCTCAGCGGGGAGTCTGCTTCTCCCTCTCCCGCTCCCCACTCTTGTGCACGCACGCTCTCTCTCATTCTCTCTCTCAGATAAATAAATAAAATCTTTTAAAAAATATTTTAAAAAAATTTTAATGACTCAGTGAATGATAGCTATGAGAAAATTGATTAAATCCACTACCTTTTAAATATGGCCCGACACTGATGATTTTTACTGTGATAAACATTTAGTCACCTTTTTAAAGAATTCTTCACAGGTCTCTTTCACAAAGGTTATCGTACTATGTGCAAAGGCGAAAAGTACTTCAGGCTTACTTCTCCATCTAGAGGACCTCACCAAGATGAAGTTCACAGCAAGGATTTAGCTCTAGGGAGAACAGAGGCAGTATAATTCAGAGCTGTATCTGGGGAAAATATCCTTCACAGGTATGAAAGTGGGGCCAGGCTGTAGGCCAGGCCATTGGGAAGGAGTCTGTAAACCACTGAAGCAAGTTACCCCGTTTTAGTCATCAGGCACTTGACTTAGTTGTCTCTGGAATGGCTTAGCCAGCGTGCTCCTCAACCGTTTTATTGTGTCTGAACGACTGATGTGGTTGCTAGGAAACCCTGCTTGTTCAGCCATCATTGCAACCTACACTGGCAAGATCCTGCTCATTTGGCACTTCAGCAATGCTGCTAAGGAGTCAAAATCTAGAGTTATCCAAGTGATCCCTGCTTTTAGGTGTCACTCTTCATGCTTCCTCATCGCCAGCCCATTTGATAAATAAGGACAGGAAGGCAGAGGGAAGCCAGGGTCCGCTGCCAAGAGGGAGGCAGGCTGGTGGAAGGGTTATGAGCGCTGGCTCTGCAGTCCGACTCCCTGGACTTGAATCTTGGCTCTGGCACTGCCCGGCTGTTTGACTTTGGGTGATGCATTTAACCCTTTCATGCCTCGGTTTCTCCATGTAAAACCCTACATCATAGGGTTGTTGTGAGAATTAGATATTCCAGGAGTGGTTATTAGCGTTTTGTATGTGTCTACTCATTTATCCTTTATGAACTTCTGGGAGGGAGACACTATTCCCCCCCGCCCCATTTTACTGATGGGAACACTGAGGCACAGAGGAGTTAGGTTACTTGCCCAAACTCGCCAATGTCAAAGCCAGGATTCAGGCTTGGACAGTCCGGCTCCAAAGCCTGAGTTCCCAACCACCATACCATACTGATATAATGCCTGTAAAGCTCTCAGAACAATAGGACACATAATAAACGCTCTTCATGAATGTTAGCTATTATTAATAGCGGTTATTTAGAAGAGGCAGTCTGCAACGTAGGACCCTGAGACTGCCTGCAAAATATTTGTTTACTGTTTGATTAGCCAATCTGGGGGAGTAGGCATCGAAAACGTATATACCGACTCCAGTTGCAACAGGCGGCGTTTTCCTCAAGAGGACAGTTGCCTCTCGCTGACTCCTGCACCTTCTCCTCAGAGTGCATCATGTGCTTCTTTCAGGGCCAACTCAGTCACCTGGAACCCTCACAAGATGATGGGCGTGCTGTTGCAGTGCTCTGCCATTCTTGTCAAGGAAAAGGTCTGTACCTCCTCCAAAGATGAGCTGGCAGCCTGAGTGTCCTTTACGAGGCACAAGAGGAGAAAAGCGTGTTTTCGTTCTGTTTTGGATTTGGTTTCCTGTACTTGACAAACACGCAAGATTGACAGCCCCATTGAAACTACCATTGCAGTTCTTTCCTGCCCTTGTCTCTGAACCTCCAGCCAGCTCGTGCCTCCTCTTGGCTCTTGCCCTCTACTGCCCTTCCTACTGTTCGGTGCTCAGGGCCTTTTAAGTGACGGAAACTGTAAGGACGTTATTTCATTGCTCATTCCTTCCTGTTTGTACAAGCAAAAGTGAGCACCATTGGGTGAGCCACCAACCCTCACCTCAGTGAACACAAAAAGTGCTCCCTAAACATACTACAAATTCTTAGCATGCGTGTGTGGTCCCAAGAGCTGAAGTAAATTAGGCAGAACAACAACTGCAAATGTCAACTTAGGACAATAAGGAATGTTGACTAAAAAGCTTCTGTAGACAAGTTAGTTCTTTAAGTGTCTAATAATAGGACCCTGCTTTCAAAAGCATTGTTGCTCCAATAAAATGTGTGTACACTGAGGCATTCCAAAAATCTGTCTCCAGCGTGTAGGAGCCAGAACCTGCCCAAGCCCTTTACTACTTTCCTAATAGAGTGTCTGTTAACATTACAGGAGATCCTGGAAAAGTCTAGAAGACTTGGGGAGGGGGGCACTTTGGGCGAGGGAAATTCTTCACAGCATGAGACTGTTCCATCCGCTGCAGGGAGTTTATATCCCCAACCCTTGTCCACTGAATGCCATAGAACTTCCCAGTCTTGGAAACAACCCGAAACACCCCAAATGCTCCCTAGAGGGGACGGTGGGTCCCTTCTTGTAAGCATTTGAGACTAAAAAATCATTTTCTGGTCAGAGTGTCAGAGAGAAAGGGACAGAAGTTTTTCCAAGGGTGGTTTTCGAAAAAGATATCAGAACAAATGCAAGGTCTTATGAAGACATTAGAAGAAAGGTTGCATGCGATCCCAAGTCCCTCCTTCCCACCAGCCCTGTTTCAAAGCCATTCACATCTCTGACCGACGAATACAGATGCAAGCTTGTCTTGATTTTCATGATAGGGTATACTCCAAGGATGCAACCAGATGTGTGCCGGATACCTTTTCCAGCCAGACAAGCAGTATGATGTCTCCTATGACACCGGGGACAAGGCGATCCAGTGTGGCCGCCACGTGGACATTTTCAAGTTCTGGCTGATGTGGAAAGCAAAGGTACAAAGGAGAGAACTCAGGACATAGAGCAGAAATGCAATTTGCAGAGGCTGGCTGGCAAAAGAGAGGCAAAGATATATCACAGATAATTTAATATGTGTGTAATCAATATCTAGATAATTGAGCTAACTGTATTTTCTTTGTTTGCAAATGAGATCACTTTATCCCTTATGTCAGAATCTCCCTCCTTCCATTCAGTCTCCTCAATTTGAATTAACATGGAGTTTTCTTGTAACTTTCTCTTGTAACAACTAAAAATTTTGCCAAGGTAAGGACTTTCTCCATAATCCTTAGGGATGCTGAAATTATTTAGTGCAGATGTAGAGAAAGAGAGATAAAATTACTGCATTATTCTATGCAGAACCCTGAATTTCTTTATGAGTCTTCAAATCATGGGAGATATGCGACAGTTTTTAGTTCTATTAAATAATGGCTTTCCCATTATTTGTACTTTATATGCTATTCTGGAAAACTGCATACTTTATTCTGAGAAATCCTATTGCTAGACTAAGGCATGCTGCATCTGCATTCATCAACCTTTCGGATTGCATTTCTGTGTCTAAAAAAAAAAAAAGCAAACTATTGGAATCTCCCCCTAAATATGGGTGAGGGAGAGGATTGCCATTTCGACTATTTGTTTCAAAAGTATGCAATCAACTAAGGCAATTTTGATTTCACAGCTTTATTATGCAACCATTGTTTTTATTTACCTACTGTAGAGTAATTTTAATAATTTCCACATTTAAGATTGTATCTACTAATACCAAAATAACAAAGTTTTCCAGCAAAACATCTAATCAAATGTTTTTTCTGTAGGAAGGATTTGATGGATTATTAGTTTTCTTCTTCATTAAGTCATTTTGTCTTAATATAGAAATAGTCTGATTTCTACCACAAAGTAATCATAGGTATTTTAAGCATATAAATAGCCATGAATTGCAACAAGAGAAAGAGCCCTATCATTTAGAAATATAATGACCATGTGGCCTACATCAGTAATTTATGTCTTCATTTTGCCTAACAATAACCTCTTGAACCATCTGCCAGGAGTTTGGCGCATAGTGAATTGGTTGCTGAGGTGGGACCCCAGTGCGGGCTTCTTTCTCAAGTGGAAAGTGGACTGGCCAAGGGACGCCTGCGTGGCTCAGTTGGTTGAGCATCTGCCTTCAGCTTAGGTCATGATCCCAGGGTCCTGGGATCGAGCCCTGCATTGGGCTCCCTGCTCAGCGGGGAGTCTGCTTCTCCCCCTGCCTGCCGCTCCCCCTGCTTGTATACGTGTGCTCTCCTCTCTCTCTCTTTCTCTCTCTCTCTGCCTGACAAATAAATAAATAAAATCTTTCAAAAGGAAAAAAAAAATAAGAAAGTGGACTGGCCAAGGTATCACACTCAGCAGTGACTACTTGGGGAGGCTCATGCTTTGCCTGTGTTGGATTCTGCCCAAGTCCATTAACAAGCCACAAGCCAGCCTTGTGCATCTGCTCACCTTGCTAACACCGACCCACTCAACAACCCCCATGCCACTGTTATTAATCAGCCATGCTGGCCTTTGAAACTTGAGCTCAGCCAGTTTGTCAATAGCTAGAGCTACTACTGCCATCTCAGGGCATGTACTCAAACCAATGGCTTCCCCACCTGCCTGCCTGCCTGGCACCGAAAAGAGATGATACTGTGTTCTGTGCAAGGTAGCCTGCCAGGGAGTATGGGGACATGCTTGGCTAGGACTTACGGTTGGGGAGGTGGGTTCTAAAGTAGTATTTCACAAACTCTGTGGTGAAGAACCAGTTGTTGTTGTTGTTTAACCTATCATGGACCAATACAATAAATGATGATGAATTGCTGGAAAAATGAAAAAACTATATAAAGTTTAAACATCAATTTTTAAAACTAGAGTCAGTAGACATAAAATTACTCTGTCAAAATGCTATTAAAATTTCTTACTGCTTAATCTCATTTCTGTTCTCACATTTGCATGCGCCAGTTACAGTTTGTGGACAGCTACACTTTGAGGAGCACTATCCTAAAGCAAACTAACAATAGGCTTCAGGTCCCGGCTGTGAGTAACTAGAAGGAAGATAAAAGTCCTATTGAGACTAACTGCCCAGAGCTAGAGTACCTTCCAAAGAGAGTAGATGTGCTTCCTTTTATTGTTTTCGGTGCTGTGAAGAAACTGTACTCATTTAATTAGGTAGCTCTTCCTAACCATCTCCAAGAATACTCTTATGTGTAACTCCAATAGACAAGGTCAGCATAGCTTTCTCAATTGCTCATTGCAGGAAAATGCAACCCATCACCAACCAACATGACTTTTCTTTTTCTAAACCAGGGCACAGTGGGATTTGAAAATCAGATCAACAAATGCTTGGAACTGGCTGAATACCTCTATGCCAAGATTAAAAACAGAGAAGAATTTGAGATGGTTTTTGATGGGGAGGTAAGTTGTCATCATGGACTAGATATACAGCATTTCCAGAAAATCTAATGAGGGATGCTCCTGAAGCCATATTTTCCCACATTGCCAGAAGCTGCTACTGAATTTTTATTTTTATGTACTCTTCATTTATTTCCCTCTGTGTCTATGAACTTCTCTTTTGATAGCATTGGGATGACTTTTGCCCTTTGCCTTTTCTAAAATGGTACAGCTCTTGGCCAGCCCTTTGCAGAGAAGAGCTCTTTACTTGGCATGTTTGAATCCTTTATCTTTCCTACGTATGTCTTATTATTGTGTCGAACCTCCATGATAAAGTATTTCTCAGTTCCAAGAAGTTTATAGGATGGGTATAACGTTGTCTCCCAAGACTGGTTCTAAAATGAAGTTCTACTTTACATAGATTCATTATGAGGAGAGCAAGATAAAATTGTTTCTGCTCTGAGGCACCCGGGTGGCTTTGTTGGTTACGCATCCTACTCTTGATTTCAGCTCAGGTCATGATCTCAGGATTGTGAGTGTAAGCTGTGCATCAGGCTCACGCGCTGGGCATGGAGCCTGCTTAAGATTCTTTCTCTCCCTCTCCCTCTGCCCTTCCCCTCCCCCACACCCCCTCTCTCTTAAAAAAATTTTTTTTGTTTCTGCCCTGAGTTCATATCCACATTGCCCACGATAAGCTACTTGTCATACTAGTATTGACTGAATGCTTGCTATGTGCTAGATCCCATGCCATGAACTAGGTTATATAGTAGTAACCAAAACAGCCACTGTGTCTGACTTAATGGAGTTCACAGCTGGATAAAGAAAGTTAGAATGGGAGCTAGTATAAACCAGTGTAACACCACCTACATTCAACTTAGTCTATTTAACAGGCAGTCTAAACTATTAGGAACGTGCTGGAGGGTCACCCAATGAGGAAGAAAAAGCCCTGAGCAGTTCGACTTAATGACACAGTGCTCATGCATTTCACCTATGGGACTGCACTTGGAGTATTTACACTATTTTGAATATTCTAGCAGTTTAGAGACAAATGTGATATCTCAAGCCAGGTAGAGGCAGGCAGAATGATAAACAGCAGTGTGGAAGGAAATTGAAAAATTATGGCAAGAATACAGAAGAACTGGAAAAGGATAGGAGGTTTTAGAGCAGAGACACTAAAGAGTTCTAGGCACCTCAGTGAGACCTATCTTATGGTTTAGACATGGTATTAGTGTCCATTATAATAATCCCTGAGTCATCAAGATTCAGTATCAATATAATAAATTCATAATATATTCAGTATTCAGATAAACTGTGCTGAGCCTCTTCTATATATGAGGTACTACAAAATGGCAAGATGGATAATACTCTTTTTAAAAACTACCCAAATGTAATAATTTTTTAACATTTCAATGTTTAAAGGTGGTAACTTTGAGATCATGAATGGGGTGCCTGGGTGGCTCAGTCAGTTAGGCAGCTAACTCTTGATTTCGGTTCAGATCATGGTCTTGTGGTTGTGAGATCAGGTCATGGGTCTCAGGGTTGTGAGTGTGAGTCCTGCATCTGGCTCTGCACTCAGCGCAGAGTCTGCTTGTCCTTCTTCCTCCCTCTGTGCCCCTATCCCCACTCGTCCATGCACACACACACACTCTAAGATAGATAAATAAAATCAAAAAAAAAAAAAAAAAAAAGGTGATGGGGCACCTGGGTGGCTCAGTCGGTTGAGTGTCTGCCTTCGGCTCAGGTCATGATCCCAGGATCCTGGGATCGAGCCCCGCATCGGGCTCCCTGCTCAGCGGGAAGTCTGCTTCTCCCTCTCCCACTCCCTCTGCTTGTGTTCCCTCTCCCGCTGTCTCTCTCTGTCAAAAAATAAATAAAATCTTTTTTTAAAAAAAAAGGTGGTAACCTTTGGTCATCTAGAAAATTGGTTATAGGAAGCAGCTCTCTTGCTAGATATGACTAGATAAATGAGGCATTGTTCTTCCTAGTATAGAAGTAACATTGCCTTCAAGATGGACTTGAAGACCTTTATGAAAAAAAAATTTTTTTTGGTCTGAGAGCCTTCCACCAAGGGCACATAGGGGTTTGGGAATAACTTTCTTTCAAGTTCTCATAATTTTCTGGTTTGTTTGTTTGTGAAAATCTCTGCAGCCTGAGCATACAAATGTCTGTTTCTGGTATATTCCACAAAGCCTCAGGGGCATTCCGGATAGCCCTGAACGACGGGAAAAACTACACAGGGTATGGAATCTCTCCTTGTCTCATCTAACCCTATGCAATTTCTCTAACTGGTCAGAACATCCACACTTTAATGTGTCCTTCTAATGGAGGAAAAATAAAAAATAAAGACTTGGGGTGGTAGGCAGCCATCTTGTTATATTCTTTTTGAATCTGGGTTGTCCCTTTGCTGTGATTCAGGTACAGGGGGAACCTCTAAAGGACGATATACATATTCCTAGGAACATCCATATTAAACTCTGTCTATTAAAATGTCTTTTACTAAGTTCAGGTCCACTCTAACGCTGATTCATTCTAGTTGTCGATTTCTATATCCAGTTTATTATTTGTAGTTGTTGGTATTAGCATTGAATTTATATAATATTTGATTCATCTAACAAATAGTCATTGAGCACAGCTCTATGTGCCAGACAAGATCCTGGGTTCTGGATTATTCAGAAGCCTTAATTTGTGTTGCAGCCTATAAGAGTTTTTTGTTTTTGTTTTTTATTTTAGCACTGTTCTATGACTGACTTTCAAAATTCAGTCGCACAGTAGTTTCTGAGGGAATTTATGATTGGGTAGTCTCAGTCATTGGACATTAACCCCTGAAGAAACTCAGGTATAAAGTATTTGCCTTCGTGCCAGTATGGATACAGATGGTAAAAAGCAAATGGCTCTTTTTTCCAACTAAGAAATGGGTTGCATTGTTCAGAAGAGAGTGGTGTTAATGTTGGTCTTGAGTTTTGTTTTGTTTTCCATCACAAGGTGGCCCCCAAAATCAAAGCGCTGATGATGGAGTCTGGCACGACCATGGTTGGCTACCAGCCTCAGGGGGACAAGGCCAACTTTTTCCGGATGGTCATCTCGAACCCAGCCGCTACGCAGTCTGATATTGACTTCCTCATTGAGGAGATAGAAAGACTGGGCCAGGATCTGTAATTGCCCTCCACAGACCATGAGTTTATGGGAATTCCTTTTCCTTCTGGCACTCTAGAACAACCTCTATAAATGGCTAAACCACATAGGCTATTTCATTGAGGGGAAATATAATATCTCAAAGAATACTGTTTAAACCTTACTTAAGCTTGTTATAGTTAGTAGGAAATAATGTTCTTTTTAAAAAGTTGCCCAATAGGAACACAGTATATATGTACAGTTATATATACGTCTCTCTCTATATGTATATGTATGTATCATCGTGAGTGTGGCTTGGTGATAGATCACAGCATGTCTCCCACTCCAAGAGAATTAACTTTACCTTCAGCAGTTACTGAGGGGCCAAACATGCTGCAAACCAGCTTGCCCAACAATCCCAGGAAAGATGTTTTTCAAGATGTTGTGTCATAGGGACCAAGGGACATCCTGTTGGCGAGAGTTGACCTCGTTGTCAGTGTTTCTCCTACCTGAGGTGATGACAGATGAAACGAAGTACCACTAGGTGACAAGAGTCACACCCTCTCCATTAGTATCCTGTTAGGGGAAAATCATAGCAGAGTCATTGTTACAGGTGTGTTGTTGTTGTATTTTGGGGGACTAATTTGTGTAGATTGTGTATATTTCTGTTGTCTGACCTTTGGGGGGTAGGGGAAGAACACATGTAATGATTTCAATGACTGTTTAAATTGTAGGTAAATGACAACTGTTTAAATTGTAGGTAAATGAAATAATTGCTTATTTATATTCAGAGATTTACCATGCTAAAGAGGCGTCTTGTATTTTCTTCCCATTTGTAATGTATCTTATTTATATATTAATGCAGTAAGTTCGGGAAATTGTTTATGGTATTTTCGTGCATTTGTGAGCCAAAGAAAAAAGATTAAAATTAGTGAGACTTGTATTTATATTAGAGTGCCCTTAAAATAATGATCAAAGCATAAGTTTACTGTCTGTAAGAGAATTCTGATACTGTACATAGAATCATCTGTATGGAAATCCCATGACTTAAATAGCATCTGCTCTTCTATTACCCTCTCTGTCTGGCTATATGTCTGGTGTTCTCAATGCTTTTCTAGTAACTGTTGGATAATAACTAGATCTCCTGTAATTTTGTAGTAGTTCATGACCAATCTCTGTGACTCGCTTAGCTCAAACCTAAGGCAACGTTTCCGAAGACCTTCTGAAGAGCTCCCATAAATTGACCAGGCTCACAACTGTTTTTGAGGAAAGGAAATTCACACTGTGCATTTTAGAGTATGCAAGACGAATATAAATAAATAAAAATATTCTCCATGGAGAATTTGAACAAAATTTTCTTCTAGTTTGTGTTTCATACACAGAGCTTTCCAGTGATGGTTACAGATCAGGGCCCAGCCCAGCCCCTTTCCACCAGCTGCCTTTAGGTGATGCTCACTACCCTTCTTAAGTTGGGACTCAACGCACTGTCATAGGTGCCCAAACCCGATCTGTAAAATCATTCTGATTGCAATTAAATAAAATTTGCAGTTCAAGCCCAGAGAAAGAAAAGCCATCCCTGTTTCTCATTTTCCTACTTGCATCTTGGAGTTCCATTCATGCAGCCATTCAAAACCTGTTTTCTTCTTCTGTCGCAGGCACGGCACTGTTCTAGGCACCGGGATTACAGTGATGTGCGTGGCAGACAAATTTTCCTTCTAATGGGGATCTTACAGCATTTGGCATCTGTAGTATCTGACTACCTCTACGATCACGGAATCATGCCTTGTTGCTGCTCATGCTTGAACAGTGGGCCTGATTCACTTTTTCAGGAAATATGTCTTGGTGCTGGATCATCAGGAAATAGGTCCCGCTTTCTACATTCTGTTAAGCTATAATAATACTATTTCACTCATTTGGAATACAAGGAGCTCTCTATTCAGCATGTGGAGGGATTGGATAAGAGTCCTCTGTAATTAGCATACTGACCGCATGATTAACTGTTGAAGTAAGACCAGGTTCCCAGGGAGATGATCATAAAGTCACTTTATTCTTTCTGCCACTGTTCCTTCCAATCCCCTCCGTGGTATGATTCTTTCCCCATGCCCCTGTTTGAATTCAGGTCAATCCCATAGCTTTTCTGGCCTCTCAGTTACAAGAACAGTTTCATTTTAGCAATCAAATGTCCAGCTCAATGTAACAAGGGAAGACTTCAAGTTTTTATACAACAGAGAGTTTCTCCCCTCCCTTGGTCCGGCACTGTTTTAGGCTGCCATCCTATAGTGGTAGGGGGAGACAGGCTGGTGGTGGGACAAGGTCAGCTTCTTTTTTTTTTTTACTCTTTTAGCTCATCTCTGCTCCCTAGCTACTGCATTTCCCCGAGAGGCAGAGGGGTTAAAATAAAAAAAGCACAATTTTAGGTAGCTGATAAATTCTCATCTAGCATCAGGGCCTCTGGTCCATGAGATTTTTTTTCTCATGGTACCATTTGGACGGGGGGGTTGGTGGGGATTTTTCTTTTATTAAGGTAAAATCTAAGATACAATAAAATTCATTCTTTATAGTATACTGTGTATAGTATTCTGTGAGTTCTAATGAACCCATTACAGTCCTGTAACCACCACCACAATCAAGATATAGAACAGTGCATCACACCAATAAATGTCCCCCTGTCCCCTTATATGTAGCACCTCTCCTAGTCTCTAATTCCTGGCAACTTCTGGTTTGTTTTCTGTCCCTAGAGTTTTGCCTTTCCCATCATGTAAATGGAATCATATAACATGCAGCCTTTTGAGTCTGGTTTATTTCACTTAACACAATGCATTTGAAATTCATCCTTGCTGTTGTCTGCATCAGTTGTTAGTTCCTTTTATTACTGCATAGTGTTCCATGTGTATGGATGTACCAGTGTGTTTATCCATTTCCTCACAGAGGGAAATGTGGCTTGTTTGCACTTTGGAGCAATTAAAATTAAGTCGCTATAAATGTTGGTATGCAGACTTGTGTGAACATAGGTTTTCATTTAACCTGGGTAAATACCTAGGTATAGAATTGCTAGATCATACGGTATAGAGTGTGTTTAACTTTACAAGAAACTGCTATACTGTTTTCCAAGGCGGCTCTACCATTTTGCAGTCTCACAGCAATGTACAAATTTTCCAATTTCTCTGTATTCTCACTGATAGTTGGTATTACCAATTTTTAAAAAAGTTTAGCCTTTCTTTTTTTTAGTTATAGTTTTATTGAGATATAATTTACATGACCACATAATTCACCCATTTAAAGTGTACAGCTCCCTGGTTTGTAGTATATTCACAGAGATGTATATCCATTACCACAATCAATTTTAGAACATTTTTATCATCCTACAAAGAAACCTTATACCTATTAGCAGTCTCTCTTCATTCTCACACAAACACTCCCTCTAGCCCCTGGAAACCACTCATTTACTTTCTGTCTACGGATCTGCCTTTTCTAGACACTTCATATAAATGAAATCACACAATCTGTGGTCTTTTGTGACTGGCTTCTTTCACTGAACATGTTTTCAAGGTTCATCCATGCTGTAGCATTTATCAATACCTCATTCCCTTTATTGCTGAATAATATTCCACTTGGAGATATACTACATTTTATTTACCCATTCATCAATTAATGGACATTGGGGTTGTTTCCATTTTTGGGTTATTGTAAATAATACTACTATGAACCTTTGTGTACAAGTGTGTACAAGTTTTTATATGGACATATGTTTTCATTCTAATAGTCATATCTTGCTGTGTGGTTTTTTTTTTTTAAGATTTATTTATTTGACAGAGAGAGAGACAGCAAGAGAGGGAACACAAATGGGGGGAGTGGGAGAGGGAGAAGCAGGCTCCCCACAGGGCAGGGAGCCCGATGCGGGGCTCGATCCCAGGACCCTGGGACCATGACCTGAGCCAAAGGCAGATGCCCAACGACTGAGCCACCCAGGTGCCCCATCTTGCTGTGGTTTTGCTTTTTCATGAAGCACTTTTGACGCATCCCATTGAGGTCCTCCCGCCTCATTACACATGAGGCAGTCAGCGTCTCCCCTCCTGTGGCTTACTTAGGACTCAGACCCTCAGCTCTGGGCCCCTTGGCAAGCTACCCTGTCCAAACCTTTTGTTGGGAGCCCTTCTCCTCAGGCAGTAAGTACTCTTGGGTGGAGTGCCTTTTATTTAAAATCATTATGTGGAATATATAGGAGGTTTTTAAAAAAAAAAAAAAACAGGCGTGTAAAGGATAAAGAATGACAACATGATACGCGAGTACCCACTACTCAGCCAAAGAAATAGAATATTATCTATCTTAGAGCTGTCTAACCCATCATGAACCCTTCCTAACTGGATGCTTCCCCTTTCCCAAGAAATAACCAACTATTCTGAATTTTGTGTTAATCACTCTCTTGTTTTTCTATATAGTTTTACCACATATATATGAATCATTATTGTTTAGTTTTACCTGGTTTCACACTTCATAGAAATACAATAATACAGAATATATGTACTTCTCTGATTTGTCTTTCTATTCAACCTTATGATTTTGTGGGACCAGAGCTAACCTATAGAGGGTCTTTGTGCAGTTAAAAAAATTAAAAAGACACCCTTCCTTTCAGGGACAGGCACCCCTGTGCCAGTGTGTACAGCTTGGCACATGGAGCATAGAATAGACTGCAGTGCCTACTGAACCCATTGCCACAGCCTGCAATCACAGCCTTATGTGGTGGCCTCATGTTTTTGAGATTTACCTTTGATGATGGTTCCAGCCAGAATTCATTCATTTTTTACAGCTATTCCATTGCATGAACATACTTCAGTTGGTTTATCCATTTATAGGGGGTGGATATATTAATTTTTTTCCAGTTTCCTGCCTTTAAGACCAGTGTTGCTATGAGCATTCTTCTACTTGCTGGCTGGTGCACGTGTAAAAAACATATTTTTCTAAGGTTTATATCTAGAAGTGAAATCGCTGGGTCATGTTGTTGAACTTCACTGAGTAAAGCAGAGCGGTCATACCAAGTTGCACATTAACCAGCAGCACGTTGTTCCATGACCTCACCATCACTTGGCTTAATAATTTTGCCAGTCTAGTGAGTATGAAATAATATCTCATTGTGGTTTTAATTTGTCTTACCCTGATTGAAAATGAGGCATCTTTTCATACTTTTATGAACCATTTGTGTTCTCTCTTCTATGAAATGCCTAAATCATGCCCTTTGTCCAACTTTCAATTGAGTTGTTTGTCTTTTTCTTATGATATTTAGAAGTTCTTTATACATTGCAAGTACTAATTATTTCTGATTATACGTTTGGCAAATCTTCTCCTAATTTGGAGGTTAAATTTTCATCTGTTTAATGGTCTTCTTTGAAAACATAAGTTCTTAAATTTAATGTAGTGGACTTCATCAGTTATTTATCTTTACATTTTCTGCTTTTTTGTGTGTCTTAATAAATTCTTCCCTACCCTAAAGTCATAAAGATATTTTCCTCTATATATTGGCTTCTAAGTTTTATGGTTTTATTCCTTTCACATTTAAGTCTCTATTTGTCTTGAATTGATTTTTTTGGTATTTGGTTCTTCTTCAAGAGTGAGAGCTATTATTAGCCCTTACTCTTCCATATAAATTTCCATATAATTTTAGAATCAATTCATCAACTTCCACAAAAAAATCCTATTGGAATTTTATTGAATCTGTGGATCAGTTTGAAGAGCATCAGCATATTTTCAATATTGGATATAGTAATCATAATCATAGTACGTATCTCCACTTAACTAGGTCATCTTCAATGTCTTTCAATAAGGTTTTACAATAGATATGCACAATTTTTGATAGATCTATTCCTAGGTGTCCTATATTGTTGTTATTTTAAATGGCATTTTTTATTGAAGTACAATTAACAATTAATTATAACAATATAATATACAATATTATATTAGCTTATATTAGCTTCAGGTGTACTATATATGATTCAATAATTCTATATGTTACTCAGTCCTCACCATCGTCAGTGTATTCTTAATCCTCTTGATCTAGTTCACCCCAAAATGGCATCTTTTAAAAATTACATTTTCCAGGGGCACCTGGGTAGTTCAATTGGGCATCCAACTCTTGATTTCGGCTCACGTAATGATCTCAGGGTTGTGAGACTGAGCCCCACATCGGGCTCCATGCTCAGCACAGAGTCTGCTTTAGATTCTCTCTCTACCTCATCTGCTCTCTCTCCTGCTCATGCATGCTCTCTTTCTCTCTAAAATAAATAAATAAATCTTTTTAAAATATTATATTTTCTAACTGTTGCTGAGG